CACCTCATCCTCCACAGAACCCCCAGCTGCTGGCCTAGAGCCTGGCATAAAGCAGATGCCCCCCAAATATCTGCTGGATGAGGGAACCAATGAATGAGAACAGACGAACAAGAGACTGCGTGGAGATGTCTTCTGGCAGCGGAGGCTGATGACATTGTTCTCCGTCAGGGCTGACCTCTGCCAACCTCTCCTATGCCCCCAAGGCGGGCCCTGGAACCACGGGAAGCCCAGATGCTATTTCTCCTCCTTCTTCCTTGTAGGGAAACATCTGAGTCTTCTCCATTTGGGACTTTCCGATGCCAGTCGGCACGTGCCCATAGGGCCTCTCATACCACTGTGGTCCTTCTGATGCCAGTCCACACACACCCGTGGGGCCACTCCCTTCAGATGACCCTAGGCCCACCATCTTGGTCCTCCGTTTTGGTTCCAGTTGAGGTGAGGTTAATGTGTGGTAGGGGATGCCCAAGAAAGGGTTAAGTTGCCAGAAGCAGAGTCCCGCCCTTGGGCTTGCTCAGCCAATCAGAGTCTGTCCTGATGAGGTAAAGCTTCTATCCTGGGTAGCATTGGTTGAGTTGGCCGGCCCCATCTCCTGCTGGAGAGAGCCATAAGGGTGGAGTTTCTGTGGAACCAGACAGAACTGGAATTAGCTCACTGTCTACTCAGGCCAGGGCTGCCTGTCTCCAGGACCTGCCCCTGTTCCTTCCTAAGGTGCTCAGACAGACCCTGGCATCACCGGGGCCCCGCCTCTAGCTGACCAGTGGAGATGACAAGGCGTCACATCTGGGAGAAGTCTCAGAGCCAGAGCAGGCCCAGGAGGCCTCAGTTTCCCTGCCTGGGCCCCGGAACACAGCGGGCAGTTACCAGGCAGTGACATGGAGCGATCATCCCATGCGCTCAGGGTAGCAGCATTCAGCTTCAATAAGCAAGGCCACTAGATGAATCTTCCTAAATAAACATAGCTTTAAAATGGTAACAAGAGCAGCTAGTTCACAGAGTTCTTCTTGTGTGCACATGACATGAGCTTACTCGTCACGAGAACCCTGTTAATCCATCCACTTTACTGATGAGAAAACTGAGTCTCAGCAAGGCTCGGTGCCCCACCTGAGGTCACAGAGTGGTAAGAGTTTACACCCCCCACATCACTTGCCGTATCATTTTTGAGCAATCCATTGGCAGATCTGTCTCCGCCCCTGGACTGCGACCTCGCAAGGAAAGAACGTGGCAGATCCGTCCGTGCATTCCCACCGTGGAGTCCAGGGAGCACCCCGACAACGGAGCAGTCCCTGATGCCCTGCACCCCTCGCCTACCTGATGGCTGTCGGAAGCCTACTCTCCTCAGAGCCTTCCCGTGGCCCAGGCCAGCGCTGTGCGTGTGGTGGGGGCTCAGCGGAGGGTCACAGAGTGGATGACGAATGTGTGGCCCGGACCCCACTGGACGGCTCTGAGGACCCAACAGGCACAGCCTTTAAAGCGTGGATCGCCATTCCTGGTCACCTCTGCCCAATGAAAGGAGAGTTCCATAGGACAGGGTCCCATCCATCTCTGTGACCCCAAAGGACCTAACCTAGTGTCTGGCACAGAGGAGGCACTTGTTATGGGTATTTGATTGAAAAACCAAAATAAGATGCACCTGTTTGTCCCTACTGGCTCAGAACCTCAGTGGCCCCAGGCAGGACTACCTGTGAGTTATTCTAGATTAGAAGCATCCCAGCACTCCCCGTGGCAGGGAGTCTAGTAAAAGTTATCCGAGGCAGAAGAAAGGTAGGTTCCCTCCAGGAATAGATCCTGAAGCAAGTAGGCAGAGTTCTGATGAGAAAGAAGGGTGTGGTGAGTGGAAGGAAGCTGGGTCTTAATTCTACAGAGAGAAGGGGAGCTCACACAGGCCAACCCAGGGCAGCCCCGGCCCTAACCGTGGGCACCTCAGAGGGAGCTGGAGAAAGGCAACAGGGCTCCCAGAGAAGGGGTTCAGGCCAGACACTGCCTGCCTCATTGTGTCCACACTGCCCCAGCAACCCCGACAGCAACCCGCAGGTACCCCAGGGACAGCACGGAAAGCCTGTGGCTGCCCCAACAGACCCGGCCGCCATAGGCAGCAGAGTTCACAGCAATCCAGTCCTGGGGGAATCTGCAGGGCAGGGTTCCCCATGGAGACCGCATGACCCCAGGCCCTCCATGATAATCTTCCTTGGGAAGCTTTCAGGATAATCCCAAAGTTCAAAGAGCCAGAGAGAGCCACCTGACCCATGCCTGAGCAGGACCACTGAGCAAGAAGCTGCCAGAGGCCTCACCCGGCTAGTGGCCCACCTGCCTCTCTGTCGTTCTTGGAATCCATCTTCTTCCAATACCTCTGCCTTTCCCAACAAGCATTTCATGTTCATTTATGGTTTGCAGATTTGGGAAGAACTTTTGTGTTCCTTGAGATGGGTGAAGGGTCCCCCATTCCACGGTATCAGCAAACACTGTTGAACAGGGTTGAGAAGGGGCGGCATGGGACTCTCGGGAGTTCCCTTGCAAACCCCTCTTTCCCCAGAGAGGCATCTGAGTTAAGTCTGGGAGCAGCCTGGGCAGAGGTTTCCCCCATGTACAGCAGAAGGCGGAGCATTCTCAGAAAGAACAAAGAAGTAAAAGGCATTTAAGGAAAAAAAAAAAAAAAAGGCATGCTACTCAGGACAAATTAATCAAGCAGGACTCTTTCTGCCTGAAAAGCAAGAAGCTGGGGCCTGAGCTCTGCCTGGTCTTCCCTCTTCTCTCTCCCTGGAGGTCAGCAACCTTAGCAGAAAGGCTGTGGCCCAGCCCTTGGCAAAGACGTTCACGGTCACCTCCGAAGCTGCCGGGACCTGGTGGAGCTGAGCACAGGTGGACGACCGGTGGGCTGGCTGGATGGCCACCAGGCCAAGTTGCTAAGGTTGCTAGAGCCCTCCTGGAACTCCATGGGCCTGGAGAAAATCACACTTACCAGAATTTCTCTCGGGGAGCTTTTTGTAAGGGACCAGAAGGAATAAGTTGCTAAGACTCCTGAAGTGTGTATGGTGGGGTGGGGGTGGGGGAGGTTGGGCTTGGGACCCCAAGGGGCCTGCCTGCCTAACAAAACATGGTTACATAGCTCCCTCCTAAGGATGGTGGGCCAGTGGGGTGCGTAGGTAGGGCTGCGCCCGGGTTCAGTTCTCAGGCAAGGAGGCAATTCTGAGGTTGTCCCAGTGCTCAGGCCCTCCTTCTTTACCCTTTTCCCACCCAACACACAGCTGCTCCATTAAACACACATTTAAAGAGTTTTGATTTGAAGAGGTATCTGTTGCCAGCCCAGGACGCCCATAGGTCTTGGCATGGCCCCGAAGCTGGGCCCCAAACTCTGGGGTCCTTCCAGCATCAGCCAGCCAAATCCACAGCCTGCAGGGCCCAGAGCCTGTCTCAGAAACTCAGACTACCTTCAGCCAAACTGTCCTCCCAACCGAAGATGGAGAGACTGCCCAAGGCACGGAGAAGACAGTTGCCAACACGCTCCAGAGCCTGCAAACTCTGAAGCTGAAGCAGAAAGAATTCTTCCCCCCATACCAGAAGGAGCTAAGCCCAAAATTACAAGAAAGCTGGAGGGCATGAGTTTAGTCATGGATCATCCCAGGGACCGCCCCAGTGAAGAGAATGGCCTGGTTTCTGACTGTGACCAAGCTGGGATCAAGGGTACAAGGCAGCCTACATCCTCGGCAACAGGTCTCTGATCAGTAGAAGACCCAGACAATGGAAGGGTAGCCACAAGTTGCTGGGGCGGAGGTGGGGGCGGGGCGCGCCCCACCGCTGTGGTTGAGCGAGCGCCTGCGGCATCCCAAGCCATGTGCCGTGAACTGCGTAGGCACCATCTCATTTAACTCTACACTTTGGAGGAGGAACTGTTGTTCCCAGACGGAGGCACCAAAGCACTGAGTAGTCGAGTGACTTGCCCAAGGTCACACCGCCAGTCATGGGTAGAGTGTGAGTCAAAGTCCGTGCCCTTCCCGCTCTCCCCCTTCATCAAAGTTACTCTTGCCTCTGGCTAGTATAAAACAAAATAACTTTCCAGTCTGAGATTACAGGAGCCTCAGCCTGTTACTCCCTTCCTTCGGGACTAGCTGCGGGGCTGCTATCTACCACCACAGCTCCAGAGGAGGCTGTCCCCGCAGCCCACCGTATGCCTGCCGAACGCACGGGAAGAAGAAACAGGCCGGCAAGTTTACCGGCTGCCACTCGCTTTCATTCATCCTCTCCCCCTGAGCCAGCAGACCAACCACTCAGATCCTCCTGCAGCCAACCAGACCAAACCCCCAAATGGCCAACACTTTCACCAAAGAGAAGCCCCCCGCGTGACTCACAAATGGGAACTACAGCTGGGCCCGGTGGCTGGCATCCAGCTGACAAAGGGGAAGGCCGTGATCCGGCCCCTGTCCCGTCCCCTCCACAGGCACCGGACCAGCTCTGGGGCGCCCATCGCAGGTCAGCCTCAGCTGGGAGGCTCTAATTTTCCCTGATTCTCCAGCTGGCCGGCCCCCAGTCCCCAGCAAACTCCACTTGGCTCCACTTGGCTGTGGCCTGCAGCGAACTAGAAACAGCTTCCGCCACAGACATCGCCTCCCAACGATGCCGGCCCTCGGCCAGTGTTAAACGCCCGTGCGCTACCCCTGGGCATGACCTACCCCATGGCAGAGGGGGACTCCATGCCAGGCAGCAGCAGCGGGCCAACCCAGACTGGACCTGGCCAGAGGCAAACCATCGAACAGAGCCAAGAAGCGATGGCCATGCTCCCTTGGGCTCCGTCGCTCTATCTGAGCCATGCAAAACCCACTCGGTAGACCCTGTGAGACGCCAAGGGGGAGAGACACTCAAGCACGGGCCTCCCTGCCAAGAGCTTGTTGCTCAGATCCAAGTCCTAAGCTGGAGCTGCTCCCGAGCTCAATTCGGAGGCTTGCGAGTCCGGGGCTGGGGCGGGGAAGCCAGGCAGCCAGGGCGGCGGCCACCGGCGAGGCCCTTACCTTGCTCTCCGGGGGCGAAGCCATCAGCTGTTGCTGCTTAGCGATGTTCTCCGACAGGCACCAGCACACTCTCTTCTTCTGCTCCTGCGAGTGCGCTTCCAAAGTGAATAAGCACTCTGCCTTCTGACGTCAGGGAAAACAGAGGAGAGGATGGTCAGGGCTGCTCCCTGGTTCAGGGGGCTCCCAGGCCCAAGCCCATCCCTGGGCTCCAGAGGGTGAGGCTGCAGCGGGGTGGGGGGGGGGGGGGCCCCGCAAAAAGCCCAAAATGCAAACAAACCCCAAGAGACATAGGGGCAGCCAGGGGAGCAGGGAAGCCGGTTCAGGGGCCGGCTGGCAAGTGAGCGCGGGGGGCCCAGGGGCGGGGGTGGGGGAGGGGGGAGGGTTAGCTCCCAGCACAGTGGAGGCCTGTGGAGAGCCACAGGACAGAAATGGTGAGGTCACCCCCGGGGACAGGCAGCACAAGGCGGCAGCTGCAAGAGCACATGGGGGAACCCAGAGGGCCAAGGTCTCCAGCCGGCTGGTGCTCTGTGGAGCCAGGACCCCTCCCCCTGCTCACAGAGCCCCCCTCCCCCGACCTGGGCACACGATCTGATCACAAGGCCAAGGTTAGATGGGCAGCTGGACAGACATACCAACAGAACTCAAACAGAAACTCAGGTCCCTTCTGAAAGTCTCATGTGGGTGTAGTCACGGGGCCCCTACAGGCACACGCGTGCCTGGCACCAGAGCTGGGTCCGACCCGGGCTCCTCAGCTCAGCCAAGTGCAAGGACAGGCTTCAGCACTGGCACTGCTGTCATTCCCATCTCGCTTTGCCATCTAACCTCGTTAAGTGCAGTCTCGTCCCCCCCAGCTAGACTAGAAAATCCTTCCAGGAAGGCCTTTCCCATCTTGGCCCAGCATAGTACTGGGCAAGTAATGGCCTCGGTAAGCTCCAGGAGGGACTTCTGGGATGAGGTCAAAGCCAGGCCAGCTTTGGCACAAGCATCAGCGCGCTGCCGAGACCCAGGGAGGCGGCCCCGGGGAGTTGGAGTGTGCTGGGGGGAGGGGCGGGGGGGGCGGTCGAGCACGCCCAGGGCTATCATCCACTCTAGAACACTCTGGTCAGGGGACTGCAGGCTCTTTCCGACTCCGCTGGAATTTGATTATAACCTCACAGGGCTGCGATTACATGAGCTCAGCCAGGGAGCTGAGAGCATGAGCTGGATGGCTTGGAACAGAGAACAAGACAGTGTTTCTATGCAGTCCTTCCTCGTTTTGCAGTTGGACAGGCCTGGCTCGAATCCCAGCTTTGCCACTTCCTAGCTGTGCACCTTAGGAAAGCCTGTCGAATGGGAATGGGAATGACATCACCCCCTCTCAGAGCTCGTGAGCCAGTAAGTCACGAGAACAATCGGAGTCCTCGACAGACAGCAGCTACCGTTGTTACTGCTTCGTACTTCGCTCATTTAATAAATATTTATTGAGCGCCTGCTACATGTCAGGGACTGTTCTAGCTCCTGGGGGTGAAGAAGCAAATAAGAGAGACTGAGCTCTGGCCCTCAGGTCGGGGAAGAGACAATAAACCAAGAAACAATGAAATAATATCATTACCAATTGGGAAAAGGCCAAAAGGGAGAGGTCCTGTCTGAGCCTGGTGGTCAGAGAAGGCCTCTCCGCAGGGGCAGCATTCGGGCGAAGGCCTGAACAATAAAGGCCAGCAAGGCAAGTGCTTGGGAGAAACTGTTCCAGGCAGAAGGAACAGCACATGTGAGGGCTCTGAGCTGAGATGGTTACCAGCATCATCAACTAGCATGTGGGGACATTCTCTATTCTGCCATCCCCCAGAACCCTACGGGATGCCACCCTTCAGGGCGGGGCCAGCTCCCCTGCTAAGTGTTCCCAAGCGTGCCAGCCACTCTTCTCCTGCCCCGAAGTGCTGAGAAGCTGATCTTCCTAAAAGCATCACAGGAGGGAGGGAAGAAATTGCCTCCCCTTGGCTTCAGGGAACTGGGCGGATATGGGGAGGCAATCCTCCCACTTAACAACAGATTCCCTCCACTTCTCAGAACTCCCAGCCTGCTGCAGGGGAAGGACAGGCCCAGCAAAAAAAGACCCAGATTCCCCGGAGGGAAGCCAGGTAGGGCAGGAGCTGACCAGAGGGCCCTGGGCTCCCTGTCTCATCATGTTCCCCTGCCAGGTGAGGAGAGAGGCAAAGACCATGGTCCCTTCCAGCTTGGAAAGGCCATCTCTCCACAAAGCTGGCCCTGTCTCTACCTAGCTCTTTGGGCTTCATCAAATCCCTTAATCTCCTGGAGCCAAACCTCCCCTTTTCTTTCTGTGCCAAAGCGAATTCTGCCTTAATAATAATTCCTTTTATCTAATTACCCATTTTAAAGAGCACTTTCCTACCCATGCTCTCATTTTGTTCTTGACAATTGCATGAAGAGGTAGGGAGGTTCTTAGATGGTTACTCCCAATTCAAGGAAGGGGAAAACCAAGGCTCCGAGTGGCCAAGGGCCTCTTCCAGCTCTTATTGCTAGTGAGCAGCAGAAGGAAGGCTCAAAGCCTTGCAGAAACACCTGTTGAGATTTCATCCCCCAAACCTGAGTGGCCCCAGGAGGCCCTGGCTGGGCTGCCGCCGGCTGGCGGAAATGCTCTCCCTTGCAGACTGGGCCCAAAGCGACCAGAGCACGAAAGCCTTCGAAAAGCCCAGTCAGCCAGCGGCTCGGAGGGCAGCCACAGAGCTCACTGGTAATGTCTTGTACTACTCAGCACTGCTCTGAGCTCTAGGATGGTGGCCCCCTCCTCACAGTTACAGGGCTACCAGCATCCTCATCTTGAGACAACCCCCCCCCCACATGCTGTACCCCGCACAGCGCTAAGCACCTCACCAGTGGGGTCTCGGTACTTCTTCCAACAACCTCGAAAGGTAGAAGCTGTGATTATCTCCATTTTACTGACACCCATAAGAACCACTTCCTCTCCCCTGCCCTGTGGATAATTTCTTTTTAGAAAATCATATTTCTCTCTGCCTGGGATGGTGACCGTATGACCTGTCTCAACAACAGAGTTCAGGGCTGAGTCTCTGGCTCTGACAGCTTGAAGCAGAAAGCCCCATAATGCTAGGGAATCCAGAAGCCTTTTGAGCTACCAAAGACCGAAACCCAGGCCTGGCCCCGGGCCAGGGGTTGGCTGTCTTAGATGGGCAAACATTTTGGGGAGGTCCTTGCTCCCCAGGCTCCTTTCTAGGAGATTTTGGAGGCTGGTCTGGTGAAGAGAGAAAGCACAGAACCAACTCTCTCCAGGGGAGCTGAACTCCCATCTGCACACATCTGTCCCAATCAGGGACCCCACTGCCTGCCTGACTGCTCTACATATGAAGGGTCTCTCTTAATCCCCCGCGTGATCTAACTCACTGGTTTCAATGCCGTTGCACACCGTGCCCTCCTACCAGGATCCAGGGCTGAGGCTGTGAGCAGCCTTGAAGGCATCCTCACGTAACTCACCCAGAGACAGGGCTCCTGATGGGGCAGCACTGGGGCGGGCCCTCTGCATTCAAACATGAGCATCCTCAAATCCAACCAGAAACCCAGGTCCTCCTGGCCTCTTTAAACCCCCAACTTGCCTCACCTCCTTGTTCTTAAATTAGTATTATCTTTGTAGGAACCAAAACCCCTTCTGCTACTGTTTGTTCACTCGCCTTGACAAACCTCTCCTTTAATTCTAACGACCTGATGACACAGGTAGGAAGGAAAGGCACAGCCGTTTAACCATTTTCCAGATGAGAATGCTGGGGCTTGGAACGCTAAGTCAGCAGCCCCAGGAGACCTCAGGAAAGGAGAGTCAAGTCTGTCTTCTGCCTCCTCCAGAGCCTGTAATCTTTACCACATTTGTATAACTCCATACGTACATTACAAGGAGCATGAGATATTCCTCTTAGCTTTCTTTTTAAAAGGTCAATAAATCACTGGTGATGTCTCTAATGGAGAATAAATGAATATGAGAAGCTCTCCCCCCCCGTTATGAAGCTGACAATCATAATAACTCCTATTTATGGAACACTTACCACGTGCCAGGCTCTGTGCTAAGTGCTTTGGTCAGGGTATCTTATTGAATCTCATTTAATCATTACGACAGCCCTGCCAGGTAGGCCCCATCAGCCTTGTTTCAGAGAGGAGTATGTGACTTGCCCAGACCTCTCAGTCAGGAAATGGCAGAGCTAAGATTCAAGTCTAGGTCTTCCTAACCCCAAAGCGCAAACTCTTCAATGAATGGAGCGCAGGATCACAGATTCTAAGAGACTGGTCCTTGACCAACATGCACTTTCGTCCCAGGGACCCGGTGCTCTCGAGCCAGGAGGGGGCTGCATCTGCCCCTGGGCTCCCAGGGGCTGAGGGCTACCTGTCCCGGAGAACAGAGACTCCAGGGCTGAGCACTATTCAGGACAATCCCACCCAGGACCTACTGCTGGGAAACACCCAAAGCTGGGGCCGCCCAGCTAACTGAGGCCTTCTGAATGCAGTGGAAAAATCCCTCAAACTCCTGACTCTCTTGCCCCACTTTCTTTTTTGGGTGCCACCTGCATGTTAGACAATGAAGATATACCACTTGTCAGAAGGTCCCGTGAAGGGCGTCTGGGTGGCTCAGTCGTTAGGGTGGCTCAGGTCATGATCCCAGGGTCCTGGGATCAAGCCCCGCATCAGGCTCCTTGCTCAGCGGGGAGTCCGGTTCTCCCTCTCCTTCTGCCCCTGCTTGTGTCCCCTCTCTGTGTCTCTCTCTGTCGAATGAATAAATAAAATCTTTAAAAAAAAAAAAAAAAAAAGAAGGTCCCATGAAGATGTGAGTTTGGGGTTCCCTGTGGGATCCAAGACCGTCGTGTGGAGCCTCTGTGGGGCTGCAGAGCAAGCAGGCACCCTGGCTTCCCGTTACAGACGTGCCTCTCCCCACAGCCTCTTAGGAGAAAAGAGAGGCCTGTGGCTGCCTGTGAGCTCCCATCTCCCAGCCCCTTTGGGTCAGAACTCCTGGCACTTTAACTGAAATAAAAGGCCCTGGATCAATATCCCTTCAGCAATCTTTGGAGAGTGGGGGAGGTCACAGCTCCCTGGAAGCCAATAAGCAGAAGTGCTTTTCTCTGGGCCAAACAGACCAACCCAGCCGGAAGCTCTCCTGGCATTAAAGAACGTGGAGCTTCATCTCAGGCTCTGCCCGTTCACAGCTGCCGGGCTGTTTGCCGGGCCCTGTGGAACTGAGTCCCCACGGGTTCTGGAGGGCCTCTGACAACTGCTTCCCGGGCCTGGTGAGGTGTGACGACACGGGGGAAGACATTCGATGCCCTCCTGGCCCTCAGGTCGCCACTGGAGGCAGCCAAGGTGCCCAGCTCAGCTCCAACAATGTCCGCTGCCCTTTGGAACCCTCTGCCCTCCCATCAAGGTAACTGGTCAACTCTGTGTTCTCCCCCAGCTGTCTGTTCCCCCCAGGGGACTCGCTCGGAGGCCTGCACCTCGTTTCATAGCCAGGAACCAAAGGAATGATTTTCAATCACAAGCGACATACACACTCCTTCCTCTCAGCGGGCTAGTGTGTAGACCGTGCCCTACCCAGAGCATCTTGTCCCACAAGACTGGCTGGTTCCCGGAACTGTTAGGAGGGACAGACATAAGCAGAAGCAGGGGACACGAACGGGTCTAATGAATCCTTGCTTGGAACAGATACTGTGCCAAGGAGATACTCTCCTATGAGCAGAAGACACAAGATGGGGAACAGAAAATTTGCTGAAAATTTAAGAGTTTGTATGGCTCCGTGGTTCTCAACTTTTTCATCACCCCAGACTTCTGTGATCAAACCCCTGGTCTGATGATATTGTATCTCCCAAACCTTATCAAGCAGTAAGATGTTTGCCTGATTTTGTTCAGCAAAGGCATAGCACTGCCCGTATGTGCTTCTGATCAGACCGAGAAAACCAGGAATACAATCACACTGAGTGGGCATCATTCTAGCCCAAAACACACACACTTAATGTTTTCTTTAGCCTGTGTTAGTGGGCCCAGGTAAAGGTGCAATTACCTTCAGGCCCTTTAAAATACTGACAAGATTCTGCAGGAGGGGTCATGGGTGGGACTTCCTGGAAAAAGAGGAAGAAAGAGGCAGGCACAAGAATCAGGGCAATCTCCAGAAGAAAGACTGCCAACCAAGTAAATAAGGTGAGGCACGGCTGTCAGGCCACACCCTCACTATGCCTCCTGCAGGTGCCGGAGACCAGGGGTTCCCGAGTAGGGGATCACAATGTCCTTCTGTCCTCTCTAGCCACTTCTTTAAAAAAAAAAAAAAAAAAAAAAATTTTTATTTATTTATTTATTTATTTATTTGACACAGAGAGAGCACAAGCAGGGGGAACGGCAGGCAGAGGGAGAAGCAGGCTCCCCGCTGAGCAGGGAGCCCCATGCGGGACTCGGTCCCAGGACCCCAGAATCATGACTTGAGCCAAAGGCAGACGCTTCACTGACTGAGCCACCCGGGTACCCCCCTTCTAGGCACTTCTGCGTCCCCTGCTCCTCCACACAGAGGTGAGAGGCACCGAGGCAGGGACTGCTGTCCCCATTCCACAAGGGCGGGAGCCCGGCCCAGGACCACGGTATGAGCCTGGCCCCAGAGCCCTGGACTAGACCAGGACCAATGTCTTCCCACTGGCACCAGGCCACAGAGCTCTCTCTTCAGATCCAGAGGCAAGGACTCACCTCTGCTAGATACAGCACACAGAATTTCAGGTCTTCTGAAGAACCTTGGAGGGAACAGAAAGTAAGACTTGTGTTAGGGTTGGCTCCAGAGTCTAAGCAGCTTGCCCCAGCACTGCCAACTGCCTCACCCAGAAGCCAGTATGTGGTACCTCCTGGAAAAAGAGGAAGAAAGAGGCAGGCACAGGGGAAGGGAAATCTCTGGAGGAAAGCCTACTTAGTAACTAAGCAGATGGAGACACGGGCGTAAGGCTTTGGCCCACAGGTCAGCGTCACCCAAGGAAAGCTATGGTCCCACTCCCATGGCAGATGGCCAGAAGCACCTCTGGGCATCAAACGGCCAGGGGCAGGGAGCTGTCATCCATCTCAGAAGGCCTCCATCTTTCCATGCTCCCTGACATGAGGGACACGGAGATAGCACACGTCTGGGTTTTCCTTTAAATGCTCCCAACTGCCTTCGCCATTTTGAAGTTCAACAAGGAGCCACTTACTTGCTGGATGGACCTAGGAATGTGTGGGCTATGCAGCAAGATCCCCAGTCATGGGCTGGATGGTGCCCACAGATGGCTTCCCAGCCCGGGCCCAGCCCCTTGGTGTGTCTTCCTAGGGCCCTGGTCTCAAATCCCAAATTCACCCCTTCTCCACCTCTCCGCCAGGGAGGCAGCTGGAAGGGAGCGTCGGGCTCCCCGCTCCTCCAGCAGAGGAGTGAAGGCAGAATAGCTACAGAAGCTATATTTGGTCAGACTGCTTCAGAAAGACCAAGACCAAGAGAGGACCCCTGGCTGCTGGGGAAGGCTTCTTGCAGGAGGATCCTCTGGAACATGAATGCAAGATGGGAAGAAAGGACACTTCCAGGAGGTGGGAAGAGCACAGGCAAAGGCAGGGAGGTGCAGAAGCACAAGGTGTGGTTCGAGGGCTAGCAAGCGTGCAGAAGCCCTGCCCCTTCCCTGACCATCGAGGGCTGCTCCTCAGAACCTGGCATCCCTCCCCACTGGGCCTCATTCTTCTGGGCACAGACCAGGGATGGTCTGTGCCTGAATTTCAAGCAGTTGACCTCACTGGGCAGATTACCAGTCCTTTCCGAGAGAAACAACCACACCACCTGCAGAAAACCACACACATTTACTGTGCCATGTGCTGTCCGCGTATAAGCTCAACCCTTCCAATAACCCCTAGGACTCAGGGGCTATTATCATCCATGATTCATGTGAGGAAACTGGGGCTCAACACACATTTGAATCAAAGAAATTGTCCAATAAGCCAAAATGAGTTGCAAAGTAAAGGTGACAAAGTAACAGAGACAATGGGTCAAGCCAATTCCTAAGAAAAGTTGTGAGTGAAGGCCCTCATGTGGGTGAAGGCCAGCGCCCCACTTCCCCCCCACCGGGCCCCCGCCCCGAAGCAAGCATGTGGGCAGTTCCCTAGGCAAAACAAGGGCCAGGGGTGCCAGCAAGATCCAGAGAAAAATAGGCCAGTAGTAAGTGGGGGGTTCACTCTGGACTTAGAAGAAATCCTTCTACTTCTCCCCACCTACAGGAGGGTTGGGAGGGAGAGGGTCCCACCTAAGAAGTCCATCGTGTTTGAGAAACCTCTCGTTTGGAAGCTTCTGCCAACTCCCTGCCTTGCTGAGGGTGGAGACAAGGGGAGGTGGTTTCTTTTGTTTAAGAAAACATACTGGATGTCTCCTTGACTTTCCAGAAGCAGATCTTAGTGCCAAGGGAGAAACAAAAAGATCTATGTAAGAAAATAACAGAAATGTGGGTTTTAGAAACTGGCAGTGGGAGAAAAGGAGGCTCTAGAAGGGAGGGGAAAACCAAGGAGTGGGAAGCCTCAGGGAGACAGGAGGCTGAGGTTGGGGGAAACTCAGCCTATGACATATTCCCGATGGCAGGGGGTGGTTGACGATTGCTTGACAACTTTCCTGGGCTGTGACACCCCCCCCGCCACCACCCTCCCACATTAACCCTAACCGCCCCCCTCCCCAATCTGCTCCACGTCACAGCCTTGTGGTGGCAGTACTTTGAGAGAAGGACGGAATGGGGGCAGTGCTCAGCATGGCTCAGAGCCTCATAAAGGGACAGCAAGCCCTGGGAGCCCAGGGTGCCAGGCAGGAGCCACGGCTGCTGAACAACCGGCTGCAAGGTGGCTGACCCAGGCGAGCAACCTCACCCCCTCAGAAACCCTTCTGGGACATTAGACTGGGCTCTGGGCTTTCCAGAGTGTGGAAACAGGGGGTGAGTAAAAAGGGACATGGAGGCAGCACACATTTGGGTTTTCCATCCCACACTCCAACTGCCTTCCCCATTTTGAAATTCCACAGAAGTCACGGGCTCCTGGGTGAACCTTGCTTCCTACCAAGGACTGTGGGCCGTGCAGAGAGAGTCCCAGAGGCCCAGAGATGGCTTCCGTACCCAAGTCTGACCCCTCTGTCATGTTCCCAGAGCCCTCTCCAGCCTGGCCTGAGGTCCCAAACTCAGCCATTGGCCAAGCCCTCCCTACGCTGTGTGACAAGCCAGGGGGCATGTTGTTCCTGTTTTTCAGTTGTAGAAACTGAGACCCCGGGAGAGAAAACAACCTGTACAGGCATGCCGTGAGTGAGGGGCAGCGCTGAGATTTGAAACCAGGATGGCTGCCTCTAAAGCCCGTGTTCTGACCACCGGCTCCCATTTCTGCACCCCCCCTCCCCACCACACACACCGGTTTCTGAATCTGCACGCTGCCAGACTTGGCACTCCCACTCTAGAGGTGGGAACGTGTCTCTCCCCCTGCTATCGCCCTGGCAGCCAGTGCTCAGGTGGGCTCTGAGGATGTACTCAGCAAATGTCAACTGACAAAATTTAAGTCCAAGCATTCCAGCAGCTGGGACCTAAGCCACTGAGTTTCCAAGACTGGGCACCTGGCTCCCCGGGGTGGATGGAGAGCCCAAGAATCAGCTGGACATTTCCAGGCCATCCTGAGAGACCAGAGCAGGCCAGGAAGACACCCTATGGGCAGGATGCTGGCCGCCTGGGAGGGAGAAACACAAAGACCAGCAAAGCCAGGGGGTGGCAGAGACAGGAAGAGGCCACAATGGGCCCCGGATGACCGGAGATGTTCCAATTGTTAGTGTGAGCTCTCCGCGTGTTCCCATTACGCTGCCATTCAGACCTGCTAAAGCTGGGGGGATGCCGGGCAGGAGGAGGGCCAGCAAGGTTTACGTGGCCACCACCGGCTGGGAGCCGTGGAAAAGGGTGCTTCCAGCCCCCAAGCTGGGCAGCGCTTCTAGTCTCCTTCGGTCAGTCATGCAGTCATTCAGCCAACCAACATTCACTGGGCACCCGCAATGTTCTGTGCCTCATGCAAGGCCCCGGAGGACGCTTGGCCAGAGAGCTAAGCTCCATTCAGGCAAGTCACACACGGGAGTCATCAGTCCCCGGGTGAGGTAGATTCTCTCCTGCTGGGAGACAAGCCCTCACCAGCCCCAGCCCACAGGAAAGGCCGCGTGTGCCCCTCGCTCCCATCTTCTCTACCCCAAACGGAACTTTCCAAACATGCTGACTTGGAAGGGACACACCTGAGAGGCACAAGCAACATTCATCAGAGCCCATTCTGCCAAGAGAAGCTTCAGTTGAGGCCCCACATGGATCCCTTAAAAGCCTCATTCAGGCCCTCGCTGCCACAGCAGGCGTCTGGAGGTGCCAGGGAGACGGGCCGGAAGCTGGGCACCAGGACTCAGGACACTGGGTCCCACAGTTCCAACTCCCGACTGCAGGAGAAGGGGACATGGGACTTCTACAAACCCCAAGACCCACAAGCCTGTCTCAGGGGAGTGGAGGCAGGGGAGGAAGCAGAGGCCCTACTGATGCCTGGAGGAAAACCTAAGGGATGGGACATGCACCTGAGTGCTCAGTGTCACTGAGCCACGTCCCTGGGGAGCCATGTTCACTGTTTGCTGGCTGACACTGCCGGGGAAGGGCAAGACAACACATCTGCACCAAACCGTCCCAGCAAGTCCAGGTTACGTGCATACTCGCATACACACACCCCCACACTCAAGCCAACCCCGTAGGCTCAGATGGCTGTGGTCATCTCTCCTGAGGCGTGCTGGCCTTGGCCACCCTCAGCCCACCATCTGCAGGGAGAGGATGTGGTCTCCAGCTCAGGAAGCCATGCCTGCACAAGGCTGCTGCTCACATGAGCTCAGCATCTGGAAGGTTTCTCTGCAACACCTCAGGCCCCACACCAGCCACTCTGACCAGCCGCCACCCAGTGGAAGATGGAGCTCATACTGACTCTAACTTCAAGGCTTGGGTCTGAGGGCTCCAGGAGGGGAAGATCCAACCAGTTCCCAGCCGAGCCCCCCACCCCACCCCAAGGAGTAGAAGTAGGACATTTGGGCCCTGTCCCGCATCTCACGAACCTCAGGCTCCGTGTGGGGATGTCCGGGTTGGGAAAAAACATGAAGGGCTGGCCCAACCTGTCTTTCACAGTCCGAGACACCAGAGCCCAGATAATGGAGAGGGCCAGCTAAAGTCACACCGGCTCTCCAGGCCCAGACCCCAAACTCCCAGCTACTACCCTCAGCTCTTCTACTGCCCTCTTCTCTCCCACCCCAACCCCCTCTACAAAGCACAACCAGTTTGAGCCCCTCTTCTCTGTCCTCCCTCCTTCTAGCAGGAGGCTGAGCAGATGAGGGTTCTGGGCTTGTGGCCCCAGACCTGAGTGATGAACATGATGAGCACAACTGAGTAAGGGTTCGGTTCCCATAATCAGTCAACACATATTACCGATCACCCCACCCCTGCCTGGGTCCTGAGTGTCTAAGCTGGGGTGGGCAGGCCCACAGAGGAAGGGGCTACACAGTGTGAGTGTGTGTGTGAGCAGGTGTGCAGGGGCGTGGCAGGGAGAGGAGAACGGGGCTGCAGGGGAAGCTGGGTCTGAGGGAAACCGGGAGGGGCAGGGAAGCCCAGGGTAGAGTCTGCTGTAGCTCTCATCTGCCCCCTCCTGTGGGCACCGGGGAGCCAGGGTCAGAGCTGAATCTGCTCAGAGGGGCTGCTCCCCGCCACCCTGAGGGAGGGGCCGGCCCCCAGACAGGTGACTTGCTTTTTCCCCTCAGGGGCCGCCCTGGTCAGTGGGCAGGAGAAAGTTCGAGGCAGAGAAGGAGAAGTTGTAAGTGACTTCCTGTGGGGCAGCCAGAGTGGAGGTTCTCACACTCCCTGGATTTCTGAGGAGGGAGCACGGCAGGGGCGCCCAACACACAGGAACGCAGGACGGGTCTGCAAACAGGCAGGAAGTTTTCCTGGAGCAAAACCCGTCAAAACAGAATTCTTTCACCGGGTAATATTTTCCTCTCTGCCCCTGTCGCCCATGCTCAAACAGATCTGTTGTTGTTTTCATAATCTGAGAGAGGAAATCAAGCCCCTTTCAGCAGAGACTTCAGGCGCCAAACCAAACCGCTCAGCAGATACTCCCAGCTGGCTTCCCGTTCCCCAGTGGCGGAGGCACCGTGGAAAGTTTGTGGGAGACACTGGCTTCAGGCTCCGCCACACAGCCGGGAGGGCCAGGAGCAGTGTGCTCGGGCCCAGGGTATGTGCGGTGAGAGGGGCGGCAGCCGGCTGGTGCGGGGCACCTGGTGTAGGCCGGTCCCTCTGCATACGACCTTACTAAATCTGCACAACCACCTACCGGGAGCCCCACTCACACGTGAGCCAACAGGCTCAAAGTGGTTGAGTAGAATGTGCCCAAGATCATAGGTGGTGAGGGGCAGGGCCAAGATCAAAACATGGGTCGCTCGGAGCCCAAAGCTCTTCCTGCTCCACTCCACCGCCTCCCTGAAATGTGTCTGGAACAGGAACGTCACAGCAATGCTCAGGGCATACAGCCTAGCATGGAATGCCCGTGCCCAAGAGCCCCACGGCCCCCGGGGGGCTGGACTTGACCCGACTGCACATGCTCAGATGCCCCACTGATGGCTGGCAGCCCGGCCGCCGGAGGGGCAGAATCCAAACCAGGCAGCATGGATGTGGGCCTCGGGGCAAGCAGGCGGGAGTCCAGGGCACCTCTGGGGCACACACTTACCTTCCTGTAGCTTCACACTCTGGAGGTAGAGGGGGTTCCTCAGGACGTTGCAGCGGCCCGGCTCATCCTCCTTGGTGAAGAGCAGCAGGTCCGAGTAGGCAAAGAGTGTCACCTGCATCACGACAGAGCACACTGAACCAGCTGCTCCGCAGGCCCAGAGCCCAGGAGCCACAACCTCCCTGGGAGGTAAGGCGTCCTCGTCATGCCGGGCAGAGCGAGGATCAGACTCTCAGTGTGGCCTCCGCCAAGGACAGAGACATGATCTGCAACCAGGACTTCCCCTTTGCATTACAGTTTTCTACACCTCCACTCTTTATCACAGCGGGTGGAAGGGGGGCCGGGGTATAGGATAAAATCCGACCCTCCCCGTCCACGGCAGGTGGCCCCTGCAGGCCTCTCCATGGCCCACCCCCAGCCAGGCCATCTTCCTGACTACACGCCCCTGGAATCTCCAGCCCAGCGCCGCTGGCTGGGCACCACCCTCGAGCTGCGGGATGTTGGCCCATTTGCTTGTATTCTCCTCTAAATGTCTGGCTGAAAGAGCACTGCCCTTGGAGTCAGAAGTCCTGACGCTTCCCACTGAGGAGCCACGAACACTTGGTTAGGGTCCCCGAACCCTCAGCTTCGGTTTTCTCGTCTGTATGGACCAGGGAGCGTCCCTGCCCAGGTCTCTCACAGGCTTCTTTCACGAGCCCCGTGTAGACTGTGAAGTGGAGCATCATGCAGTGTGAGGTCTTATTATCACACTCCTCGAGGATAATTTTAACTGCATTAATGCGTGATTGGTCTGAGAAAAAGCCAGTTACTTCCACTCCAAAACAGACATGTATGTAACTTGTATCTCTTTTATGCACTAGCTGCTCCAAAAATAAAAGGAGAACGTTATTTTTAGACATTATAGGTAAACCAACAGGCATGCTCAGCATAGTTTCATGCTAAAAAAAAAAATCCACTTGATCCCGTAATGCCACTAAAGATTACACTGTTCTTTGTTTTGTAAATCCTGCAGTGGCCCTTAGTTAAAAGCAATAAAATCCAATTTTAGATTCTCCAAAGAAAACAGAATGTTATTAATTATGTGAACTTCCCTGTGAGGTGTCAAAAACCTGACACTTCATCTCTTCTGAAGTAAGAAGAGTCAGCCAGAGGGCTTGGCGTGCACCCCCAAAGGCCACAGCAAGTGCGTGCAGGATGGTTGCTGAAGTTTCAAAAGTTAACATGGTGACATTCAGCTCTGCAACTGTTAAAGATGACCTGACAACTCCACCTCTATGAAACTGTAAGGATGTTTTTAACAGCATCTTTGTGATAAAGAAAGAAAAGAACAGAGATGTCCATCAACAGAGGATGGATAAAATAAATTATCCTATCCTCATATGGTAGAATTTTATGCAACTATTAGAAGAATAAAGTAAAGCTTTGTGGACAGAAATGCAGGCAGAAATCCGCCCACGTAGTGCCCACATTGCACTATGTAAGCCAAAGAGTGCAATGTGCAAAAATGCCTACAACATAATCCAATTTTGTGAAATAAAACTGTAAATGTGTACATTTTTTAAATGTCTAAGATACCACACTCTTCACGCTGGGGAGTAGAATTTCACTTCCTATATTTCTGTTTAATTTGCATTGTATGGCAAGAGAGTCTATTAGTTTTGTGATTTAAAAATATATACATATTTTTCAAAGGACCCCTTGGCTCCTTGAGCACAGTGCAGAGAGGTTTGAAGGAAGCTGGGCCACAGGGATAATAGGGGTGTCCTTGAGCAGGAGGCTCTCAGGGGCCCTAGCTTCTCCAATGGGGACCAAACACAAGAGCTCCGGAACCGTGGGCTGGGAGGGATCCTGGCAGTGACTCTCTCCAGACCCCTTCCAAACCACAGTCCTGACCCAACAGAGCCTAAAAAAAGTCCCCATCTGTTAAGTTCTTTCTTTCTGCTCAGTGGATTCTTATTTGTAAATAATATCACTGCCTTCGTTTATAAATGGGGACCCTGCAGCTCAGAAAGGTTAAGTGACCTGTCCAAGGCCACACAGCCAGGGACATTGCCCAGGTCTGGCTGACCCCAAAGCTCCCCTAATACGGAGAGGGAGCAAGAAGCCTACAGCCGTCCTGCCCCCGAATGTGAAAGAATCCAAGCAGGGACCAAAACAGAAAAGCAAAGGAGACCCAAAGTAAAGCTAAGGGAGGGGAAGAAAATGATCTGAAAGCTGAGAAGGATCTGAGGGGTTGACTCTCTGAGCAAACCTGCAGGCTTTCCCACTCAGAAGAAATCTGGCAGTCACCTCCGGACCCACAGGGAAGCTGGCCGGGGAGGGGTTAGAGGGGGGCAGTCTGTCAGGAACGTAAAATGTCCCAAAACGTCCCAGGCTCCAAGAGAGCTAGGTGGACGGCAACCGGGGAAGAACCATGCGCAAGGTGAGAAAAGCTGCCGGCCACCACTCTGGCCCCAATTCCCAGAGCTGAGAATGTGGTCTAGACAGGAAGTGATTAAGGCATGAATGAAGAATTTCCCCGAGGGTCGGGTCAGGGAAAGGACAGAGATGGCACACAGCTGGAGGCCGGGCAGAGGGGCAAGTGTGCCAGGCGGGCCCCTCTCCCGTGTCACCAGCATCCAGAAGGAGCTGCAGCGGCCCACAGAGGGGTGATGCCCATCTCCACGGCCCAGTTACCTGCTGCCTTCCACAACAGGCCATGGGAGCCGCCAGGTGTCTTACCCACACCTGCTCCAAGGATACATCTGCTTTCCCAGAGGCTCAAGGGTTTTTGCTTGGTTAGGAAAGCCTTGCAACTTGGAGGTTCACTTCTCCCCAGTAGCCCTAACTAAGCTTTCTCTAGAGATGTTGCCTAAAGGCAGACCTTGGCGTCTTAGTTAATGGTAAACTCGGTGAGTCAGTGCGTAAAGTAAAGGTGTGTCTATCTTGTGCCCCATAGTTCCCCTGTGACCTTGAGTGCAGGGCCTGGCTACATGGTTGACACTCAAGAGCTATTGTTCGAACGTGTAAGCGAAGCTCCGCCATAATGCTGATTTGATCTCAGGGCACATTACTCAAGTGTGTGACTTCTGGAGGGGGTATGATATGGGACAGCCCAGTGTGAGACTGCCTCAGCTCACAGACATTAGCCAACTGGAGCATGCTCGGAGAAGAGATGGGAAGAAGAACAAGGGGAGAACATTCCAAGAATAAAGATTTCTGTTACAGGTAAGGGAAAACTTTCGACAATTTAGCCCTCTCCAAGTAACAAAACCTATGCCTGGAGGGGCTGCCTCTGCAGATCAAAAACTGGCTGGAAAACCTTCAGCTGGAAAGTTACAGAGAAGCAGTCAGAACAGATGACTTCAGAGGGCCCAACCAATACTGCAATTCTACAAATTTATCCAAGTACCTCTTGAATTTGTTCATGTTTTTGACCTGAAGGTACCAAGATCCATGTACTGGCTTGCTAGCCTATTCCATGAAAAAGAAATATATTTACTTCGTTTTCAAATCACTTCCTTCAGTCTTCAAAAGGGATATCTTAGTTCTAAGACTCCAAAGATCCACTAAACAAAGATTTTTTGGACAGATTGTAAATATAATCAGGCTATGGCTCCAGTCTGTGCTTGCCAGTCTGTTTTTCAACAAACATGCCAGAGGCAGCGTGAGAAAGCCGTGCTGAGCCAGAGATCCAACTGCTAATGCTGGCTCTGTCCCTAATGAGCCTTGAGACCCTTGGATTCCAGTTAATCTCACTGGAGCCTCAGCTTCCTCATCTGTAGAATGGGGACAACCGGGCCTCTCATGAGGATGCTGCAGGAGCTAATTTAAGATCTACTATGTAAAATGCATGCACCGTGAGAATACACAGTAAGTGCTCGGTGTTTGAGCACCTAATGGGGAGAGGACAAACAAAAGAGCAAATTTAGGCAGATGTGTGCATTTCAGGATGGCTGTGATTTCTGCCTTCTTCTGGGTCTTGTGAATTTGTAGCCACACCTCACTTTCTGACCCTTGGCCACCTGACTTAGCTCCATCACACACTTACTCACCAAGCCCAGCTCCAAGAGACTTCTTGTTCCTAAAACTCAAACCACCCCACCAAGCTGAAGTTTTACTCTCTCAGAGGCAACTCAGAAGATATGCCAAAGTTCCTAAGAAAGCTCCTCGAGAGGAAGTCCAGAAATGTAGTGAGCAATGCTCGTGTGGTAGAAATAAGCATGCGGTCTCCCCGGGGAGAAAGAGAGAATGCTCCTTTGGAACACACGAGTTCTGGTCCCCTTGTCGAGAAAAAACAAAAGCAGCCTCCTGCTTAGCCACAATGACACAGAAGGTCCCAGAATGTTGAGGCTGAACGGGCCCTTAGAGATCAGCTAACCTCAGCTGCCTCAAAGACACACACCACCACTGGCTCAGAGGAGAACAAACCAGATCGTTCCACTACCCCCAAGCTGCCACTCAGCTCAGCCAAGCCCCACGGCCGGCCTGATCAGCAGCAAGCCCCCAGATAGGCCAGTCAGATCCCAGGGCTCCAACTTTGGTGCCAAGTAGATTTCACAGGCCCGAGCCAGCTCTGGGGATTGTGTGGGGGAGGGCAATTCCCCCAGTTAGAGATAAACAGAGGCCAGCTCCCAGGCAGAACGGCGTGATCTCCACACCCAGGCCTCTGTTGGCAGAGTGAGAGCCCAGAAGAAATCACAGACTTATTCCTCAGAAGAGGATTTGGGATTTGGGTTAATACAGACCCGGAAAACCTGAGTAACTTACGCTCCTTCAAAAATTCTCTTTGGCTAATAGCTCCAATCTTCTTACCTATGAAGTCATTCATCACAGCCAGGGTAAACTACCTCCTGCTCCTTAGAGGAAGTTGGGATAAACAATGGGATGTCTTGTGGGGCTGGGGAAACTTTCTAACCATCAAAGATGGACTAAACAGCTTTGAGAGGTGGTGAGTTCCCCATCACTGGAAATGTACAAAAACAAGATGGGTAGCCATTTTGGTAAGGAGGGGGATGGATGGGGATGGAGGTGGAAGACTTCAGGATTTTTCTACCCTGAGACCGCACAATTCTAAGACCATGAGGAAGAGAAAAGTTAGGGGCCTGGAGGACGTCGGTGAAGCCACACGTGTAAGCCTTACCTCGACAGCCTTGTTCCTCCCCTCGTACAGCCGCAGCTCCTCAGACAACAGGAGAGTCCGGGCAGGGTTACAGAGATCTAAAGGCTGAAAGCAACACGGGCAGTTCAGAGAGGCCCGGTGGAGTTGGGGTGTGGGGGGAGGCAGCTTGCCAGAGCCAGCCACAGAGAACCCTCTCGACTGACTGAAAGAAGCCTCCAGCACCACCCCGAGAGCCCCCACGCCCCCTCACACACAGGTGGAGACAGAAAGACAGAGGCTCTTGTCCTGGCCGGAACTGTCGCTGCCACCTTCCCCACTAAGCCCCCCTATAAGAGCCAGGCTCTGGCAGGAAGTCCAACCACACATTTAGGCGCTGACAGTCCTCCCCCGAACTCCCTGACTCCGCTGGGCTCCGGGGGCCCTCCCAGCCCCCACTCTCCTCCATCTGTCCCATTCCGGCCTCACAGGGAAAGTCCCTGCTGCCAGGCCCCAGATCCTGAGAGCCTCATGCCAGATTTGGTCACTTTGGTCCCTTCAGAGCCAGGCCGGTCCCTGCTCTACATGCATAACACGCTTGAGTTAAGGGACTCCTTCCCGGCAAGCAGTCCCCAGGGACCAAGTCTCACCCAAACTTCTCACCCACCCCATCATCCTCCCCCATCCCTGCTCAGGAGCCCCTGCCACCTGCCCAACCCAGAGAAAGCTCCCTAAGATGTGAATGACCCAGCAGGGCTTATCCTGGGTGAAGGCATATTTATAACATGGCTTCTAGGTACCCGACACCAAGCAAGATGCTGGACGAAAGATAACGAAGCAAATGTCCACTACGTACAACCCCCTGGATGGATCTCACGAAGAATGTGAGGTGAAAGAAGCAAGGCCCCAGAAGAGGCCAAACAAAACACGTTCTCCGGGAAAGCACACAGAGGTGATCCAAGTAGAGGGAAGCAAGGAAACCACTGTCAGGGACTCAAGCTTGTGGGTAGGCATAGCAGGGAGGAGGGTGCTGGGATCGGGAGGAAACGTTTGGCCTCTGGTGGCAGCCACGGCCCACAGCTTTATCTCAGTGGACACCCGCTTTACAACGATCGGTTCAACTGTGTATTTGTTAGGCCGTTTGGGGTTTATGTACTTTACAATTTAAACGTTATTATAACTTTCTGAAAACGAGTTTTCATTCTCTGTAAAGATTTTAAAAGGAAAGGTCATGATCCTGGAGTCCCGGGATCGAGTCCCACATCGGGCTCCCCGCTCAGCGGGGAGTCTGCTTCTCCCTCTGACCCTCGTCCCTCTCGTGCTCTCTCTCATTCTCTGTCTCTCAAATAAATTAAAAAAAAAAAAAAAAAGATTTTAAAAGGAAAATGAAAAATAACTCCTGTGGATGCCAAGAGCTTTGTGGTCCCGTCCTGAGAGAGAGAAGAGACCAAAAGAAAGGCAGGAGCCATCCCAGGAAAGGGGTGTCACCCACCAGAGGAGGTTCACGGAGAGGGAAGGTGTGGCCAGAAATTAAGCCCCTGGGACTGTGTCTCCTCTAGGTTGCTGATGAGAGGACCAACTAACACAGTCTTTCTGGAAAGCCATTTGTCAATATATATAAAGAGCCTTTGACATGTTTATGACCCATGACACTGTCATGTCACTTCCAGGCCTCTCTCCCAAGGTAAATAATCAAAGGGGCAATTCGTGCACAAGGATTTTCATCACAGAGTTGTTTGCAATAGCAAAGGAAGGAGACAGAAGTCTATCTGAACAGAGAGCTAGTTAAATAAATACATGTCCGTGAGCCAGAGTAGTGTGCAGCCGCTACAGATCAAAGGCTCGGAGAGTATTTAGTGTACGCGGGGGACGTTCCTGCCGCAACTTTCATTTAAAAAAGGCAAAAGGATAGAAAATGTACACGAGGAGGCTGTTCGGTTTTCCTTCTGAAGTGCATACATGCACACAGAAAAGACACCTATGTGTTCATGCTAATGGCGTCTGGGGGGGTGGGGGGAAGCCATGGCGGTTTGGAAATGGAGAGGAAGAGAAGGGAGAAGCAGAGGGGGATGGAAATGAGTCTCAGGCCGCCAGCTAATACTGGCCAGACACGTTTGCTAAGACCGAGGAGACCAGACAAGACGCCAGACTTCAAGGCTCTTCCTCGGTCATTTCCAAACAACAAACCACTGGATCAGGCAGGAAGCAGAAGCCTCAGCAAGCAGGCCCCACGGCAATGCCAACTAGGACCTGTAGTGAGCCTGCCCTGTCCCCAGAGAAAGGGAAAACTGGGAGAGGGGGCAGGGAGAGGAGCCCCTCTTTGCTCGGCTTCCCTGCCCCTACTCTCCTGCTCCTCCGCTGGAAACCTCTGCTCCCTCAGTATAACCCCCAGAAGCCCGAGCACCTGAAGTCATTTCTTTCCCCAAAGGGAACCCTTCTGGAATGATCCTGGGGTGAAGGACCTTCCTCTCTCTCATCTCACGAGGGAGCCCTTGGGGCCAACCATAAGCTCACCTGAACGAAGACCGGGAACACCAGGACCTTGGGGGCCAGGGTGACGTAGGTGCCATAGCTCGAGTGTGGGGTGTGCGGCCTCATGACTGGGCAGTTCTGGTAGTTGCCGTGGCCCTTCATGGTCTGCACTGTCTTCATCAGCCGGGACTTCTTCCCCAGGCCTGTGTAGGACTTCCCTTTACTGGGACTACCTGATTCTGGGGAACAGAAATGGGGCACCATGAGGCATTTCCATGCAAAGGCGTCCCCTCTGCAGAAAGAGAGTACACAGACACAGCCAGCCCATCACCACGTACTGAGTGTATGCTACAGGCCAGGCCCTATGCAAGCTACTGAACACAGAGGGAGGCCTCAGAAGGGTCTCAGGCCACAGGGAAATCCCTCACATTCTAGTGGGAATTACTGACCCATAAAGAAGTGACTCTGGGACTTGGATGGAGCCAGGAACCACCAAGTAGCATGGAGGCAGCAGTCCCCGTCTCGTGTCTGGTGCCCGAGTCAGACCTATCAGTTTGGCCTTGTGCTTTTCAAAATCAGGAAATCTCTCTCATATTTGAGAAATCAGAAGATCTGACCTCACTGGACCCACAGTCCCACATAGAACAATCAGTCGGTTGGACGGCCCTGGGTGTCAGACACGCCGCCACCAGCCCCACAGCTCCCTCTGCGTGCCCCGTGTAGCTCACCTGTTCCCTCGCCTCCCAGATCCCACGGACAGAGGGACTGGAGATCCAGTGGTAGCGGAGACAGAGGGCTTTCCTATGCTGTATCGGAGCCTGCCCTCTATTAGCCACAGGGCGGCCTGGCTCACTTACATCAGTCTAAAATAAGGAGTGGCACCCGCTGGCCCAGTTCTCAGGAAAGAACATGATGAGCTCTGAGGCCGTATGGCTGTGCCCAGTCCCCACTCCTCTGCGTACTAGCTTGGTGACCTTCAGCCATTCACTTCCCCCGCTTAGAGTCTTGGTTTCCTCAACTGCAGTAACAGTACCAAGCTCATTGGGTTGCTGTGAGGATTCAGTGAGATGCTCAAGGAAAGCCCTAGAACAACGCCTGGGATCTGGTACGTGCACAACAAAGGTTAGCTGCTAAATTAATGTGGCTTTTGTTGTTGTGGTCCTCTACTCGGAAAAGCAAGTCAATCAGGTGCCCCACAGACTCTGAAAATCCTAGGCTTCACTGAAGCCAGAAAGGTACTCTGGTCGGCCACCAACGCACACTATCCTAATCAGAAAAAGGACAGAGAGAGAGAGAAACACTTCAGGGAAGAGAGCAGAAGGCTGCATGGCTGGGGTTCTTCTTTAAGGGGATGCTGCTGGACACAAACCCCACGCTGAACAAGAGATAGCATGCAGGTTTTTATCGGGTCCTGTCCACTGGGCAGAGGAGCAAGACACAGAGTAGCTAAAAAGTCAGGGATTCCTGGGTGCGAGCAGGTAGGGAGCCAAGTGCATCGCATTCAGGCTCCATAAATAACTGGGCCGCCTTCCGGGGGGGGGAGACTCTTGCTGCTAGATGGGCAACTGACCCCGATGCCTGGCCTACGTCCCAGGACCCAGGCATCCTTCCACCACCCCCCAAGGCCTGGCAGCCAGGGGGTGAACAGGTGGTCCGAGTCCAGCTACCTGGGGGGAAGCTCCCCACCCACGCGAGGTCCCTGGCCGCAGAGGAAAAACTCAGCTCAGAAGATTTCACACTTACTTCCTCTGCCCACCACATGCCCCTTCTCACCAAGCGAGGTGAGAAAAACAAGTCAGATCCCCATCACAAGTGACCACGGATCACAGCCGTATCTTAGGGCAGGACTCAAACCATAATAACTTAAACCACTTCCTTCCTCTTCAAGGAGTGGCTTAGAGAAGAGTAGAAAGAATGTGAGCCCAGGGCCTGGGGGAGGGAGTGGGGACCGGGGAGGACGGATGCATGGAAGCAGTTCCACAGCCCCTCCTCTGATCTGGCCCCTGACCTTAGGCCCAGAGGGGGGTGTGTGCTGCCAGGCCTTCTCCTCTTTGCTGAAAGAACCCATCCTGTGTCTCCAGACCTGACCTGGATTTGAGATGACAAGACACTTGAGCACTGGGTGACCTGCCCAAGGACACTCAATCAGTATAGGGTATAAAGCAAGATGGACCCAACCTATGCAGCGGTCACGCCTGAGAGCCCCATCTCCTCCACAAACCCCTGGATAACTTGTGGCAAGTGGGCATGGCTCTCCAAAACGGATTTTCTGAAGTATCTTTTTTTAAAACCAGCCCGGGTTGCAACCCAGCTACTGAGCTCTCTGAAGTCAAACTCGACTTCCCACCTGCCACCTCTTAACATCCTCTGGTCCAAACCCCCACATCACCTGCTCCACTGACCAAACACAGTAATTACTCAGCTTTGCTCTGGCTTCCAAGGCGAGCCCTGGCAGCCAGCCAGCTCTGGCACTGGAGAATCGGAGGCTTGGCCCCTTCGCAGGGCAGGGGACAATGCTGAGGGCACCAGCGGCCCCAGGGAACATGTCAGCTTACAAGCAGCAAGCGCCCTAGGCCTCAGAAGGGCACCAGACACCGTTCAACTCTGGCTGGCTCAACCCCCGCCCCCCCCCCACAAAAGGAGGCCAGGTGGCCCAGCCAGAGGAGGAGGCAGAAGTCAGCACCGTGGTGACCGCGCCGGGCCTCTGGAGAACCCTGAGTGTGTTTAAGGGAAGGTTCAGTCCCACCCCTTCCTCTGAACTCCCGGACGGGGAGCTGTGAAGACTTGATTGCTGATAAAGAGCCAAGATATCCTTGCATACCAAAAACAGCCATTACCATGAAGAATAAATGAAGGAAGGTCAAGTTCTTAATCCAATGCCTTCAAAAAGCTACCACTGTTGTTAACACTATCACATCTCCTTATTTGTCCCTCTCTCTCCACCGCCTAGATGACTGTGTCCTTGGTTCACTCAATACTGTATTCTCAGAGGGGAATCAAAACGTGGATCCAGGATGGGAAGACTCCGAGAGGCACGTGTCAGGCCAAGAAGGACTCAATCCCACATCACTGGCCCACCAGAGGCAACATGCTCTCCAGCTCCTGTGCTCTGTGACCAGCCTTCAAACCCCAACAGCAACCAGCCAGGTCATTCTCCTTTACTTGGTCACTTGGCTGAAATTCTACTGAGTACCTGCTGTCTGCCACACCCCAGGTCCAGCACCGGATCCTCAGAGATGAGCCGGCCGAGGCCCTGCCTTAATGAAGTCACCATTTAGCAGTGACACCCCACTCTAACCTAATGCGCTGACTAAAAGCTTTTTAAGAACTCAGTGTTGAATAACTACCAACTGCTCTCCAGAAGGAACACAGATGCATTTCCAACAGACCAGGCTCATCCATCCAAATGGCCTACCCTAGAGAGAATGAAGATGCCTTCCATCAGCAGCTCTGAGCCTGATGGGAGCCCTTCCCCCACCCCCACCCCCCCGCCCAAAGGCACAGGCATTCTTCCAAGTACCCGCTATAAGCCAGCATCGACTTCACACTATGGATGGGGAGGGCAGCAAGGAAGTGAGTCTGCAAGCGGCTGGGAAAAGGCCCCTCTCAAGGAAGGAAGTCACCAGGCATTCTGTAGGCACTAGAGAAAGGGCTCGAGCATAGGACCACCAGGCAAGGCTGGCCCCCACCTTCCGGATACCAGCCGGACTTGAGTTGGCTGGACCCCGGCAGGCACATGGAGGGCCTTCCAGAATGCCCTACCAGCTCCAGCACCAAGACCGGTATCTCAGGCATCCTGAGAGGGCCCTGGTTTTGAGCTCAGCTTCTCTCCTTGGCTCTTAAAACACAGGGCCAGGATTCAAAGGCCAAAGGAGAAGAACCGGTACAGAGACACCCTTGCCGTTCAAGGACAGCCACCTTCTGTGTAGCCTCCCTCCATGGGTACACTCCCTACTCACAGTCAGTCTCTCCTTTACCCCTCCCGACAACTCTCTAAGGTGGGAACTGTCAACCCCAGTTTATAGATGAAGAAACTGAACTCCCTGAGGCTCAGCGAGGGGACGTGGATTGTTCACAATCATGCAACTCCGAGTTGAGCCCTCCATGACCCTGTTTTGAGCAGGCCCGACCAGGTGGCTTATGGCACCTAACATGTATCGGTTGCTCAGTAAAATGGAATGAGTACCAATCGAATGCCGGAATCCTGACCACCACCTCCTAGACTGCGGTGGGAAGACCGCTTCTTCCTTCTCAGTTCAGGCTCCAAGGAGGAAAGATACTGGTTCAGGGAGGGAGAACAGGTAGGGAGGAGTAAGAGAGTCCGTGTCAATGTGCGGGGAATCCGGACGGCTGACCTCACACCTCTCGGGGGCTTGGAGGGCACAGCAGCGGAGGACAGACCTACCTTCGGGGATGGCATCCTCCTGGTACACAGGCCGCAGCAGCTGCCAAAGAAGACAGAAGAATCACCTCAGCCCCAGGAACGGGGAGGCCCAACTAGGCGGGCTGCTCACTGACAGCCTAGCCATAGGAAGGGAGCACCTCAGGGCCCAAGACCCAGCAGCCCCAGCTAAGGAGCAGAGGGCGGTGCTTGGAGGGATTACAGATTCCAGAATCCTCTAGAATGTTAAGAGTTGGACAGAGCCTTAACGTTCATCCAGTGTAACCCCTTGGCCGCGTCCCCAGCTTTCTTGACGGTGGCTTGTTCCAAAGTGCGTTCCAGGCAACGGGGGTGCCGTGGGTCACTACCAGGCCCACCACAAAGGGTGTGCCATCAGGGGAATTGGGGAAATGCTGGGTGAAACCATCCTCCCCCGCAAGATACCCCCAGAGCCTCGAGTAGGCTACTGTGCACTGGGAATCTCCCAGAACAGGAGGAGAGATTGGGGTATTTCTCAAGCTTATTTGACCTCGGGACACTTTTCCCCCAGAGTGTCCCATGGGACCAACGTTTTGGTGTGCATACCCCTCGGCCCACCGTGCCATCCGGCGGTGTCTGGGTTCCCACCCGTGACAGGGGGAACAGCCCTCTCACCACAGCCCACTCCCCCCTGTAGAAAGAGCAGAGCCTGGCAGAAGTTCTTCCTTCTTTTGAGGTGAAATCTTCCTCCCTGTGACATCCCGCGGGCCTGGATCTGTGCCCTGGGCTGCAGAGACCCATCTGCTCTCTCTCCCCAGAGCAGCCGTTTCTGGCGGGAAGCTAACACATACCCCGCCTCCTCCCTGAACACTTCCAGCCCCTTGCAGGCTCCTCCCTACACCTATGGTGTGAGGCCAGGGGCCCATACCCTCCGCCTCCCCCCACCCGGCTGTCCGTACCTGGCTCCCAGGGTTCAGTGGGGCCAGGATGATGTAGTTGGGGTCAGTGGAGGCGGTGGCGCGGGACAGCGCGGGCAGGGTATGCTGGCCCCCGCGCTTGGCCACCTCTGTGTAGCGCTCCCAGCCCCCGAGGAGCAGCCCGTCAGAGCTGTCGCACACCAAGTGGCAGCTGTGGCGCTGTTCAGGCCGCGCCTGGGCCCCGTGGGTGCAGCTCTTCTCCCGCTTATTGGGGGGGGGACTGGAGGTCGTGCGTCGATTTGCAGGAGGCCCGCCGCAGGACCCCGCCGTCTGGCCCTGGCTTGACCTGGGGGACCATGCGCCACACGAGCAGGGTGATCTCACTGGGGCAGTTCCTACGGTTGGGGGGGTGGGGGGGGCGGGGGTGACACAAAGAAGTTGAGTTTGGGGAAAGTCAGCCAGGGCAGGGGCCTACGGGGCAGAGAAGAAGGGTGGGGGAGGGGAGAGAAGCCCCCAGTGGTTGGGCAGGAAGGGAGGTAAGGGGCCATCTCAAGCTGAGACAGCAAAAGTATCCCTTAGATCAGTCAACTCTAGCTGACTGGCAGTGGCTGAGAAGGACCCTGAGGCCAAGGCCAGGTTAAGCAAGAGTACCACACTCAACTAGTGATGTCGGCCATGGGCAGAGTCTAAGCAAGGAGGAGCGAGCAAGCCACCTCCGTGCAACCCCGCGTCCAGTCACTCTAGAAGTATACCTAAAATGGTCATGAGAGTTTCACCCCAGTGGGCCAAAACTTAGGGGACCCAAACATTCTAAAGAATAATTTTTCAAGTATGCACTTGAAACATTTGCAACATCTACACATCCTTTAAAAACAACGGGCTTAGCGCTGAAGTCACAGAAATAATGAGCTGGAGTAGAAAGGGCCGCCCTGGAGCCTCGACAGGAACCGCAGGGTCTGTTTGAGAGCATCTTGGCCGCTGTTTGCTCCGGGATCCAAAATTGCTCTGAGCCTGAACCTTCCATTTGCAGGCCAAGACACTGAGTCCCTGAGGAGCAGAGTGAATTGCTCACAGCTGCGCCGAGGAAGGAATGGTGAGGCCTTGTGCCCAAGGCGGGGGGCTGAGGGCTGGGGGGAGGTGTGCCATTAGCCTGAGGCCCAAAGCCTCCCCGCCCCCCCGCCGCTGCCCCGGTCACCGGATCTCATGCGCCAGCTCCACGCATTTCCAGTGCTCCACAGGCCTCTCGTTCAGCTGCAGCACCGTGTCCAGCTGCTGCAGCCCTGCCCGCTCGGCCGGACCTCCTGCAGGGACAGAGAAAAGCCACCCAAGGGCTCCCGTGAAGCTCATGACACTGTCCAAGGGCCCAGAGTCATGGCTTCCACGGTGACCTCAACAAGGGGCACACTGCCCCTCTGGTCCCTCATCTGCGAAATGTGGGGCCGACCTTGGTGGCTCTCAGGAGCCTTGAAGGGAGGCACCCCTTCACCTTCAGCTCCTCTGCCTGCTCACTCTTCAGCTGTCCGTCCTTCCAGCCAGGTCCCACCTCACTCTCCCCAGGGCCTCCCACCCCCTAGAGAATCCTTCCTTGTTGCCAGGCTCACACACTTCATTCATTCCTTCAACACCGTTCATTGAGCGCCAGTCCTGTGCCCGTCCCCATGCAGGCACAGGGGGCAGGGGGATGGGGAAACATCCAGATCACCAAGCCCTGGCTTCTCCTCCACGATAAGGAGAAGTCTTTGTGAAAAATAGGGAGGGGAATGCCTATTTTTAAGTGCTAATCAGGCTTGGAATAGAATAAAATACCCATTCCCAATGAAGTACATAAATGACTCTCATTTTCCCATGCAACCCTGAGTGAAAATGTAGGTTTAGTTCCTGTTAACGTGATTGGGAAACAAAATAGAAAAAAAAATCTATTTTCATTTTGATAAAAACAAAAAAAAATTGTGGATATATTTTCATACACCTCCGTTTCATCTGTGGTCATTTAAAAATATTATTCTTTTGTTTTGAAAAACCAGGACACTGCTCCAGTTTGGGGCTCCCCTTCCAGACCCCACATGAAGCCAGGCACATGGCAGGCAAGCGGGGCTGGCATCCGCCGAGACGCTCACTTACCAGAATCCACAGCCTGGACTCGAACCGGAGAGTCACAGCAGATGGTGAAGCCGAAGCCGTCCTTCCCCCTCGGGATGGTGATCTAGGACAGAGCCCTGCGCCATTACTCCCAGAAGCCACAAGGCAGCTGCCTCTGCTCCAGGGTCGGGAAGCCCCCAGGCCCTGCCCCAGAGCCATCCTCCTCTCCAAGAGAGCTGGAGCCAAGGAGACTGGCCAGCCCTTGCTGTCCCTATCTTGGCTCAGGCATCTTAAGCACTGGGTTGTGGGCCAAGCAGGAAGGCTGGGAGCTCAGGAGGTAAATCCAGGCTGATGCAGAAGGGCCCAGCACGGACAGAGCCTTGGAAGGGCAAACCTTGTCTTCCTCAGACCCCGCAGACACCTGGTCCAGTCCAAAGAGCCCCCTGGACCGGCCCGCCTCCACCTTGCCTGTGATCCACTGACTCTCGGTCTCTTCCTACTTCCTCCCAGGGGTTCACAGAGCATCGGCCCAGGGCTGGCCCTATGCTGCGGGCCCACAGACAAAACCCACCTGGGTGCTGCCTTCCCAGAGCACAGGGGAGGGAAGACAGGGACGCACATAAAACCTGAGGACGAGGGCCAGGGAACAAGTGCTGGGTTCTCAGGGCAGTCCATCGCTGGGGCCGCAAGGCATCCAGTGAGGACTCCCAGGGCAGAGGGCACATAAGGGCACAGACAGGCCTTCTGGCGAAACCTGAACTAGCCACTGACCTTGCAGTGCCTGCTGCATGGCAGATCCACAGCCCTACTTCCAGAAGTTCCCTGAAAGGGCCCTGCCACCTGGATCTCTTTTCAAAGCAACATACAATTATCAAGCTCCTACTGCATGCATGCCAGGTTCTGCTGAGGTATGGAGGCATGAGGTCTTGATCTCTGGCTCCTAGAGGGCCACAAGAATCTGCAGATCTCTCCAAAGCAAAGGAGCCCGGTACTAGAGTGCCCCGGAGCGAAGTGCAAGAACTGAGTTGGGAACAGTTCTTTGTGTTTGACTTTGGATGGCAGGCTGGGTGCACGGCTGGAACTGAGCAAGTGCTTCGTGAGGACAGCCCAGCACCGTCCCATCAGCAGCAGGAAACTGTTAGGGTACAGTGCCGTCTGCTGGCTCAGTTCAGTTCAGCCTTGCTACGTGGCCCCTCTGTGTACTGCCAATTCGGCTGTGGGTGGGGTAGAGGAGGCCCAGACCCCGCCTGCCCAAGGAAAGACTCCAGGCTGCTCAGAGCAGGTGTGTGAAAATGACAGGCCTAAGGGAGGAAAAGTCAGAAGAAGGGTTCACTGGGGTCCCAAGAGAGTCCCTAGGAGAAGTGGACACAGAGTGGGCCCCGGTGAGGCACGAGGGAGGGTATCCCAGGCAGGTTGAGGAAGAAGCCAGCTCAGCAAGCTGGAAAAGGTCAAGGGCCAGAGGCCTTGTCAGGAGACTCCTGTCTCCTTCCTTTAAGGGCTGTCTCTTCAAGGCTGGGTGCCTGGCGTTCACCTACCAGCTGTCCCAGAGGCCAGGTGTGAGGAATGGGAGGGTCGGGGGACCCAGGGTGACCAAGGCCCTTGGAGGCTGTCGGGGAGGCCCCTGAGGCTCTGCTTCCCACCAGCCCTGGGCCTGGATTCAAAGCGAGTTTGTAAAACAGGAAATCTGACAGACAAGGGGAAGGGGGAGGGGGCAGGAAAATACCCTGTTCCCATAAGAATTCTGGGAAAACACGCAGCTAAGACAGGAAGAGAAAAAAAAAATGGAAAGAAAGAAAGAAAAACAAACTGTGGAGTGAGTGTGGAAAGCCCAGGCTGAGACCGAGGGAAGCCGTCAGGAGCCCGGTCCACTCTGTGCGACCAGTGAGGACTTCACGGGGCCTCTCGACCCACCCTCAGCCCAGGCAGAAGGTGGGATTCCAGAGGCTTTCTAGACCTTTCTAGACCCTGTCCTACCCCAGCAAGGGCCACAGCCCCCCTGCCTGGGGTGCCGGCTCTGCAAACAGGCCCTAGTGTCCACAGGCTCAGGGCTAGCAGTTTGGGGACTGGCCCCCAGAGTTGAATCTGGAGAGAAGAAATGTACTCCCGCAAAACAGCCTCCCCCTCCCACACCCTGGTCCCCTCGTCCAGGCGGGACTGTGGGCCCAAGCCCCTTCTGCCTTCCGAGGCACCAGCCTCAGTAAGAAGAACGAGGCTAGACAACAGTCCAAGCCAGCTGGGGGCCGGGAAGGAAGGGAAGAAGAAAGGGTGCCAGGAAGCAAGCTCCCCTCCTGGCTCCGTGTGAGGGCTGGGACTGCATAAAGGAAGCAGAATTACGCTCTGTCCATCACTAGCACTCACTGCGTTGAGAGGAGAGTGCCCAAAGAACTGGATCATCGCTGCCACCCTGAGGGGAGGGGAATGCAGAACTGGTTTTAATATGCCCATTTCACAGAGAAGGAAGCCGAGGCCTAAAGAGAGAAAGTGGCAGCCCCCAGCTCTCAGCCCTCCTCCATGACCCGGGGCATCAGGGTTAGGAGGTAAGGGCAGCAGCCCAGCCCAGACTCTGAGACCTCGGCAGCCCCTGGCAGAGGCTGTCCTTCCTGGGGGTGGTCCCTGCTCTTTCCTGTCCAAGGCAGGGACTGTCACTGCTCCCAGATCTCGCCCAGGCCAGCATCTCACCTCTGCCCTCCTGCCTGCTTTCTGCTCCTCTGTCATGCCTAGGCTTCCATCCCCATCCCTAACTGCACATGTCCTATATGTACATCCCAGGCCTCGCAGCAGGCACTTTGTACACAGCGTCCCGTGTCCCTCAGAGCACCATCACTGGACATTACCATCCCTACTCCACTGACGAGGGTACTGAGGCTCGGAGAGGTCTAGCGACATGCTCAAATCCCACAGTCAAGAAGGGCAAAAAGCTGGTGCTCAAAACCCTGGGCTGGTTCCTAGCATAGGATCTGTCTGGAACTTCAGCCCCAGAGGCCCAAGCCCCAAGCCCCGCCCGCACTCATGCCCGTCTCAGCTGTGACAGCCTGCGTGCCTGTCTTCGGGCCCACGGGCCCAAGGTGACCCAACACTTCACCTCCTAAACAGCGCCCTCCGCCCCACCGCCCTACACCCGGCTGCTGGTGTCATGGGAGCTGTTCTGCTGGGCTCCAGGAGGGCCGGGAGGACAGGAGGGGCCCTGAGAGCTGGGGAGGACGCCAGGGAGGACAAGTGGTCCCAGGGGCCCAGGGTCCAACGGCGGCCAGCCAAGGTGCAGGAGGCCACTCTGGGCATCTCCCTAGGACCTAAGGCTACCCGTCTGCAGGAGTCAAGACCCACCTTTCCGTCTGGCCATTACAATACACAGAGGGGCTTCCTCATACTTTTAAAATCAGAACCATTCCTGAGCTCCCATCAGCTTGGACAGTCCCCAAATCTGGACATCCCTTGCCTTTACCCTCCCTGACCCCCTTCCTTGTTTATAAGAAAAAGTGCCCAACACAGTTTCAGAAAAGCCTTGAGGCCACAGGGATCATCACTCCTACCCTGCCCCACATCCCAGAACTGGAGGCTGAGAGCCAGTGCCCTCTCTGTGAGGACGGGCTCTGGAGCCACCTCAAGGCATGGCAGCTACCAGGGAGGAAATCATGTGTACACACATATACACGGAAACATCCCATCTCACAAAGAAGTGCACGCCAACACATGTGAACACACAGAATCACACACACACAGTGCAGGACAAGGCATTCCTGTCCCATCAGAAGTAGGGAAAGTTCGTGAAAGTATAAAGTTAGGAAAAACACAAACCCCAGCTGCGCAGCCACGTCCAATCTCAGGCTTGAGATGCTTTTTTTAAACCCACATTGCCCCCAGATTTAAAAAAAAAAAAAAAAAAACAAAACCACAGAGAATCAACTAGATAACCTCACCAAGGACATCACCACGTCCGTGGTTCGGATGATGCAGAGCTGGGCCTGGTCTGCCCCTAGAGAGGGGCCGTAGGTAAAGGGTGGACCCTGGGGCCAGCTCCGGCCTCTATCCTCCCCCCAGATTGAAATTAACCCACAAGGAGCAGGAAGAAGCAAGGAAGGCCTCGTGGGGAGAGAAGTCCTACTCAGGTGAGCCCCCAGCCCTGACCCCCAGTGACACCCCGGGCACCCCTAAAGGGCCAAGCACCCACCTGGCGGTAGCGGCGCTCCGAGCACACCTTGCAGAGCCCATTGAAGCGGTTCATGGCTGCGGGTCCTGTCTCGGCTGCCGCCCCATGAAATCCCAGCTCTCCCCCCAGCAGCGGGAGCCCGCACTGCGCCCCGTCAGCCTGGCATGACCGCCCTGGGAAGCCCGCCCCGCAGAAGAATGGCAGGAAATCACCTCTCACCTCCCCAAGCCCTGTCTGTGCTGTGTGCCTCTGCACGATAAGCCCGAAGGCTTCCTGAAACCTCAGAATGACAAGGAAGAGGGAGAGTTTTATATTAAAATTCCTGTCAACTAGTTAGTATTCCCCCGGCCCCGGCGGGGAGAGGGCGCCTTTGTTCTGGCTGCATTCTCCGCCATGGGCCACTTTGTGATTCCAGTGTTCTCACAAACACTCCTGGCTGGAAGAGAACCCAGGCAGAAAACACGGCCCCCTCTATAACAACACCACTGCCCCCTGCAAATCCCAGCGTCCTTGGTAGCAAATCCAGAGGACTAACACCATCTAAAGGATCCACGGACACCTTAGGGGGTTGCACTCACAGACATCCCATCTCAAAACGGAGAACATGAAACATGTGGGTCTGAGAACAGCCTGCCATTCACAAGCTACTTAAAAGTCAGTTTCTTTAGCCAGGCAACAGTGTTAGGCATCTGATGACATGCAGACCATAAAGGCAAATCAGGAAGGGAATTCCAATCACCAGATAATCCAGCCTCCTCATTCTACCCTTCAAGAAGCTGGGGACCACAATGGTTAAGGTCACATAGCAGGGTACATGGAGCTGGGACCAGAACCCCAGTCTTGTTCCCTGCCTTGTAGAACAGTACCTGGTGAGCCCAGCGCCCCTTATACCCACCTTACCATCCCTGCGGAAACCCACCCAGCCACTCCTGTCCTTGAGGCCAGAGAGTGTCCCTCGGTACAGCCCAGCTTTGGTTGCTATGACAGTGGGCAGGTCACACAGGTTTCTGGGCCTCTGTCACCCCATGTGCACAATGGGGAAGTTTAGCAGGTGACCTCTGGGGGCTCTCCCTCAGTCCAACTAAGTCACGTTCTGACAAGCACCCCCACTGTGCTGGGTCCTATGGGCATCTCTGAGTGCGCAAGCCCAGGAAAAGCAAATGGGCCTCAGAAGAGTGTGCCCATGGGTCAGGGCCTGTGTGCAGATCCAGAATGAAGCCGCCCGGAAACTTGTGGTGTTGATGTCCATGTCATGTCATTCCCGCAATCACGAGGGCTCTCTAGTCACTGTCCTCCCTGTGCTCAGCCAAGTAGAGAGAGAGGGAGGAAGGTATTTGCAGCAACGCCAGTGAAGCTAGGTTTTTTAAAAGATACATTTCTTTATTTGAGAGAGAGGGAGAGCAAACAGGGGGAGGGGCAGAGAGAGACAAAGAGAATCTCAACCAGGCTCCACGCTGAGGGTGGAGACCGATGCGGGGCTTGATCCCACGACCCCAAGATCATGACCTGAGCCGAAATCATGAGTTCGACGCTTAACCGACCGAGCCACTCAGGTGCCCTTGAAGCTAGAAGATTTTAAGCTTCAAACAAAGCCACAGAATACAGTAACCAGCAAGTTATTTTAATAACTTAATAACTGTGCTATCCAATAGGGTAGTGACAAGACATATGTGCAAGGTAAATTTGAACTAATTCAAGTGAAATAAAATGAAAAAGTCAGGTCCTCGGTCACACTAACCACATTTCAAGGGCTCAAGAGCCACAGGTGGCTAGTGACTACCACATTGCACAGGGCGGGCAATGTTGACTTGCTCACAGCTATATCCCAGCACCCAGCACAGGGTCTAGCCCCTGAGAACGTTCAATAAACAATGAGAGAGTGAATGAGTGAGTGAGTGAGTGAGTGAGTGAGTGAGTGAATGAATGAACGAATGAACGAATGGAGGAAATGAAAGAGAAAACATTTTGAGGATATAATACACCTCTATGGAAGATATCAGGGGAAACAGCACCACCGTATCTTCCCAAGTAGGCCGCGTGCAGGAGGCAGTGTGGCTCAGGGTACTCAGGGAGTGACCTAACCTCTCTGAACCTGACCTCTGTGAGGTGGGGAAGTAAGGACCGCCACAGAGGTGGCAGTGAGGGTTAAAGTGGGGAATAGCAGCACTTGGCACAGAGGGGCATCTCAGTCAGGGGGAGTTTGCTTCTCCCTCTCTTAGTTATTAGAGAAAACCAGGTCCTGCAAAGAGGCGGAATGAACTTGGGGGAATGCCCCCAAATCCCTATGTGAAGGTTCTTCTCTTGATTCAAAGCCCTAGTGGAGTAAGAGCCCATGGGTCTCAGATTCAGACTCACGGCTGCTCCCTGACATCAAGCAGGCCTAAGCTGAGGGTGATTCGGCCACAGTGCCAGGGGAAGCAAGCGGTCCAAGGGGGCCTGGGGGGAAGGGGAGACTTGGATTCAAGAGACTGAAAGTCAGTAAGATCCATCCCCAGGGGCCTGGCTCTCTCACCACTGCTGCCCTAACCATGAGTAAGCAGAGAAAAGCATAAGAAATAACCCCTTAAAAATGCACGACTTGCTGAATTTCCAAGCTCCAAGTGAACCTGAGTCTCAGGCCCCAAATGCAGTCCTGTTTGGGGGTCTCCTGGGCCCAGGGATGGACCAGGAGCAAGTTAGAGCCCAGGACAGGGCCCAGGCCCTGTCAGTCCCACCCAGGCCTGCCCCCACCTACCTTGACTTTCTCCCCGTTCTCAGTGTCCCCACCTCCTGGAGTTCTCAGCAGAGGATCTGGAAGATGACAGAGCAGAGTCAAAAAGTTTCTGTTGGCACATAAGAGTCCATTCCAGAGACCACCCAGAGGACGAGGCCAGGGTGCCGGGCCCATGTGGTTGTCCAGATCACTGCTGGCCTCCAAGATGTGGGGGTGCCCGAGCTCAGGCTCAGCAGGGTATCAGGAGCCAGGTCTGCGTGTGAGAAGGACAGAACAGAAGGGAACACAGAATCCGAGACCTGAGCCTCAGGACTCTTGGCAGGGCCCACTTGCCCTGCCTATCGAGGTGGACACCCTAAGGCCAGCAAGGCAACCTGGGGCGGATCCTGAAATCACAGAGGAGCCATGCGGGAAGCTCCTGAAACCCAGGCCTCCATAAGCTAGAGTGGAGGAAGCTGAACCACATAGGGTCAGGCCTATAATCCTCTCCAAGGAAAGTCCAACCACAAAAACAAGATGTTGTGGGCAAATGCTGCCTGCAGCCTGCATTCCAGCAGGTGCTCGTGAGAAGCCCCTGGACCCCTGACCTGACTGCAGCCAGGGGTGACAGATGCCACAAAACACAGGGGCAATGCTACTCCTCAGGAAGGGGGGGGGGGAAGCTGAGGGAGTGGGTGCAGCAGCGCGTCTGGTTAGAAGCCAAAGGTGGGGCGCACCCACCTCTCAGGGCCCGCAGCCGCCGCCTGGCCACCTTCAGGTGCTTGGTCCGGCCCAGGTCTTCCCCCAGAAGGTAGTACCAGCCGCTGATTTCCTGTCACAAGGGAAGGTGTGACATGCTCAGACAGAGGCAAAGGACACAGGCAGGCAGCCACCAGCCGCCCCCCCCTCAAAAAGCAGCCCCTGGAGAGCCTCCCTCAGGAGCATCATCTCTGCAGAGACAGACCCTCCAGCTGCCCTGCCCCAGAGGGAGATGCCATGCCTACACCTCCAGGAAGCTTTCCCTGATGCTCCAGGCAGAGCTGCTCGTCCTCTCTGCTGAGTTCCCACAGCCTGTTGTCCCTGGAGAACAACGGTCTGCTTGCCTGCCTGCCTCCCCACTGGGCTGTGCATAGGCTCTCCGATGGGCCTAGCACTGTGCCTGGTATACAGTAGGAGCCCAATGAATGTTGACAGAACAGAAGGGAGGGAGTGAAAGAGGGATGGAGAGGCCAGAAGGTGGGCATCCTGAGGCTCCTGAGCAGTCCCCATGCAGGGAGCATCTCCCAAGAGGGAATGAAGCCAGCGCCACAGGCCAGAGAAGCTATTTGGGACCTACATGCAGGATAAAGGGTCCTCAGCCACCTACCCGACTTCACTTCTAGGACACAAAGGGGCAGGGCCACCTGGCAACTCCATGCAGAGGCCACCAGGCCATCTCTAGGGATGTGTGTGAAAGGAGTGTCTCCACCTCCCCTGCTCAAAAGCCTCCAGTTTGGGGCCAGGGTGGGGGGCGGAGTGCAGAGGTGGATAAGGAACTGGTTACCCAGAGGGAGGGGTCTCTGGATTCCAGAGAGTCCTCACTCAGCCTAAAGGAAAGCTCCATAGAGGATGGTGCTGCTCATTCCATCCCTGAGCACTCACCAGACCCAAAAACATGAGACCTGGTAGATAATGTCAAGAGGATGAGAACCACCTAGCCCTGCTCCTCCGGGGCAAGCCCGGGAGTGCTCAGAACTCTGAGGGATCTGCCAGCATCCTGGTGTGCCAGACACCAGGCCCAGAGCCCCTTGGAAGGCCTAGGGGCTGCCTGACAACTGATCTCTGACAAGCACAAACCAAGAAGAAGACCCAAAGCCTTGCTCACTCGGACGATAAACAGTGTTGTTCTTCAGGTCATGAAGCATGCGAGACAGAAGCTCCACCCAAGGGCTTCCAGACAAAGGCCTTTGCCCATGCTAGCCCTGGCCTTGGTGGGATAATCCTGCCGGAAGCGTCCCCGAGACCCACCTTGTCTGGAGTCAGGAGGGACTTCACCCCAAAGCTCATGCAGCCGATGAGTCCACTCTGTCTGGGAGAACAACAGAGGCTTGAGTCAGCACCTTCTTGCCGGGCTCTATGGGGAGGCCAATTACCCCATGCAACATAGGTTTGCCTGATTCACTGCGGTTTACAAAGCACTTTGAACCGCGTTGTCTCATTTGATCCTCCCAACTTTGTGAGTTAGGCTGGAGAGGGCTGAGTCTCCCCATTTCATGGAGGAAAAGGCTGAGGCTCAGAGTCGGTCCCCTTCCCAAGGTCACAAACTGGGTTAGTAGTAAGGTCCTGTGGGAAAGCCATGCACCCTAGATTGGAAAACAGTACTCCCTCCACTGACCACAGAAGCTTAGGGCTACCCATAGGCTTTGGGGACTTTTTCTTTCTTTTTTTTTTTTTTAGTAGAATTAACATACTGGGTTATATTAGTTTCAGGTGTACAGTATGATGATTCAACAGCTCTACATTTTTCAGTGCTCCTCAAGGTAGGGCACTGTCTCCCGTCCCTCGCCCTCACCTCTCCTCTGGCAACCAGTTTGTTCTCTGTACTTAAGAGTCCGGGTTTTTTGTTTGTCCTTCTTTTTTCTTCTTCTTTTTTTTTAAAGATTTTATCTATTTATTTGAGAGAGAGAGAATGAGAGATAGAGAGCACGAGAGGGAAGAGGGTCAGAGGGAGAAGCAGACTCCCTGCTGAGCAGGGAGCCCGATGTGGGACTTGATCCCGGGACTCCAGGATCATGACCTGAGCCGAAGGCAGTCGCTTAACCAACTGAGCCACCCAGGCGCCCTTTTTTTCTTCCTCTTAATTTGCTCATTTGTATTGTCTCTTAATTCCACATAGGAGTGAAATCATAGGGTATTTGTCTTTCTCTGCCTGGCTTCTTTCACTCAGCATTAACTGTTCTGGCACTGGGGAGACCTGAAGAGGCAGGCCCTGCAGGGAATTTCAGCACCCATCTCAGTGGGTTGATGCTCAACTGAAAAGTTGTGGGACCTCAAGTTCAAGAAGCTTTTCTCGGGTACAGGCAGGACCTTCGCAGTTCCTGGACGGGTTCAGATCAAGGTCCCAATCAACACAAAAATTGTTGAGACTCACTTGACCTGGACAAGTAGGCATGAGCCAGAGTCAGGCCTTGGAGCGGCCGGGGGGGGGGGGCGGTGTCACACTGTGGCAAGAGGCTGAGTTCAGTCGGGTCCCCCGTGGCTAAGAGTAATTCAAAGTTCCAGAAGACTGATCACCATTGAGTCCCAGCGTCTAATCGGGGACTGACTGATACAAGGCAGCTTTCAGTAATGATGGCATAGGCTAATGTTAATGAAATTCAAAAAAATAACCTTGTCATTGGGAGAGAAAAGGAAGTAGTTTACAAATCTGTGGTTTAATGAGAAAGACGCCCACAAAAATATTAACAGTGGTTGTCTCCGGTAGGTGGGATTAGAGGGGTTTTTGTTTTCTTCTTTGGGTTTTCAGTGTTTTCAAGTTTTCCCAGGGAACAAGCACCACTTTTGTAATCAGAAAAGAAAAACAGTATTTATATCTTTATATTTGCAAATACTTCTGCCATATCTTTATCTTAGCACTAGAGTCGCTTTTTCATTTTTCTTTTTTTTTTTTAAAGATTTTATTTTATTTTTTTGAAACAGAGAAAAAGAGAGAGCACAAGAGGGGGTAGGGTGAGAGGGAGAAGCAGACTCCCTGCCGAGCAGGGAGCCTGATGCGGGACTCGATCCCAGGACGCCGGGATCACGACCTGAGCTGAAGGCAGACGCTTAACCAACTGAGCCACCCAGGCGCCCGCTTTTTCATTTTTCTATTGTCCTCTTTCTTAGCGCATCCCCAACTCAGACCACCCCAGAGACTGGTTTAATAGCTGTTAACCAAGAAACAACATGAGTATTTAGATGGAAGCATAATCCTTCAGTATCTGATGGACCCACATAGAGGAGAGATTGAGCAAATACTGTAGAAGACACAGGAGCAAAGCCAAAGATGGAATGAGCCGCCCACATGGGTAGTGAACACCCTGGAGTTGTGCCTCCCCAGAACCTGGTCCAGGGCGATCTGAGTGAGGCCAGGGGCTCTAGCTGACGGTGCACCACAGAACCCTCTGAAGAGCCCACCTAAGTCCTGTGCCCCAGAGCCTGCCCCTGGGGACCGAACACAGTTAAGTCCAAGGTGGGATCCAGACCTTTGAGTCTAGAGAAAGCTATCCCAGGACTCCTGCAGGGCACCCGCCTGTGCCTGCCCCAGTCAAGGACCAGTGGACCAGGTCTCTGTAAATACATATTGTTTGCATTCTCCAGAAAGAGTGGCAGCTTACCACCTGACGGTCCCAAGCAAAACAAAACTGGCTTCTCAGAGGCAGCCAAGTCAAGTGAGGGGCGGGGCTGCCGAACACTAGAGACTGATCCTCGGAACTCGTGCCCCTGCCCCTCAGAGGCACACTCTGCACCTAACGTGCCTCCCCACCTCCTGTCCCTTGGCTACTTCCCCTGCTCCCTCCCCTGCCCTCACTTCCTGTGGCCTGGGCACCATGGTTCCCCCTCTTCCTTGCCCCCTCCCATCAGACAAGGCCATATTAATAATCTACCCAAAGAGGACAGTGCGCTCACCCGCAGTAAAGCGACCCTTCCACATCCATCTCCCCAGCCCACCCCCAGAAACAACACTCCTCCCTCCTGGGAAGTGGCCAAGTCAGCACTACCAGCCACAGTGACCATCACGAGCGGCAGACGCTGGTCTGAGTTGCCATTCCAGAAAAGCCTTGTCAAGACTTTGCCAAAGTCCTTACCACCAATTTGATTCTATTTTTCAACACCTTCAAGGGCAATCCGGCTGGTATCCAGGTGCTCACACTTCCTTGTTGCACACTTTCCCTATCACACGTATTCAGGTGCTCACACTTCCTTGTTGCACACTTTTCCTATCACACCGGGTATGGCTCTAACTTCCTAAATCTCCAAGCAGGATGCTTTAGCTGTAATAAAGGCTGCCTCTCCCCCCTGCTCTTCAATAAGTGGAATTTTCATTCCCTGGGGCTTAGAGAATGCTAAATGGTTAATAGCCTCCCATGAGCTTTACTTCCTGCTAAGGGGCCTCCAATGATTTCATGCTAATTCAGGCCAAGTAAATTGTCACAATTAATGTCCATAAGCAGGAAACACTCTCTAAGTGTTCTTCAATTAGGTACTCCTTAAGCCTGCTTTTGAAAAATCTTTGGAGGAAGAAAGATTTCTTTTACATGTAATCTGAGTACACGGCAATGCACCAGTTGGTCAGCCTATAAACTTGGAAACTAGTGCTTACCCTAGAGGCTGCCTGAGAATTGCGTGAGCACAAAGTCTCAGGGGCCAAGCCTTGGTGACTTCTCAATGCTAAACCCTGAGCTCAGGGCTCCGTGCGCTCAGTGAAGGCTCGACAAATGCAGGAACCCATCATGCCTGTGGTGGGTTGGCAGGCCCTGGGCAAGGAGCCGCAGCATTAAGGAAAGAAGACAGACATGCAGGAATGTAAACAGCAATTCGAGACAGCAAAACAGGGATATCACTGACAGGGAGAGATTGACAGACAGATGGACAGTGCAGGCAACAAACGTTGAAAGCTCTGGGAGGGCTGAGATGCCGGAGGAGGGCCTGAAGAGCTAAGCCAAAGACAGGAAGAAGAAGAGCACTGAGGGCAGAGGGAACAGCCAGTACAAAGGCTCAGAGGTAAGGCTTCATGGAACATTCGTGGAGAAGAGTACTGGGCTTGGTTACCTTTTGAGCAGAGGGTAAGAGACCCACTGTAAAATGAAAATGCATTCTTTTCAGGGAACTTTCAGAAGAAAATGCATTCTTCTCAGGGGCCTTAAACTATTTCTGCTGCAGGGTTACAGCATTTAATCTCCACTTATTTTTATTCTGATGGCTTAAATTGAACACATATTTTTCCATTTGTTTTTTTTTTTCTTTCCGCATGTCGGGTCACGAGCTTTCTAACGAAGATGGCACTGTGCTTGGCACTGAGGTCCTGTTTGGGAAGTAGATTAAAGGCGACAGGAGACTTGGAATGCCCAGGCCAGGGTATGACACACAGCAAGCAGGCTCCCTGTAAATGTTCCTACTCTTCACATAAAAGATTATGTGTTTCAAGCATATGTGTGTTTTGTTCTTTTTTTAGCGTGGTATATGACCTTACAATCCTAAGACTTCTCTGGCCACAGGTTCTGAAAGTGCTATCATTGATAACTAGAAGCTTCAGTGTGGCCTTCACCGTATCATCAAACAAAACTTTTAAATAGCTGAGTTCCATAGTCAATGATATTAAGGAGTTACGGTTAATTGTCAAGCATGGCATTGTGGTTGTCTTTTTAAGCCATCTTTTAGAGAGATATATAGAGAGGAGAGGAGATGATGTCTGGGATTGGCTTTAAGATAATCCACTGGAGGAGGGAGGGGAGAATTCGTGGGGGCACGGAGGGAATGAGATTGGCCATATAGCTGATGGATGAAGCTGGACTATGAATATATGAGCGCTTATTATATGACTTCTACCTTAACGTATGTTTGAAAATTTCTTGAAAATTCACAGAACCCAAAAGCTGAAAAAAATCTTAGTGTCTCTCACTGCATTTCACAGTTGAGACTGAGGCCCGGAGTGGGGAACAGACTTACCCAAGGTCTCACAGCAACATTGACGTTAAGCCAAATCTCCTGCCCTGAGGCCTGGTTCCCCTCAGCACACACTCTGTCACCATGACGAGGTGACAGCCCCCAGCGTTTCCCCCAGAACGTCTTTGTAGACCACTTTGTCCCCCTAAGACGAGTTTACAGCCGTCACTGGAAGGGTCGTGAGAAGTCATGAAACAGAGGCTTCCCTTTATCTCCTATCAGTTACAAAATGTAACTGCCACACATTAACCTGGATGATTTATGTAAAACCACACCTGTTTCTGTTGGGAAACAGCCCAGGGGAAGCAGCCCAGGCCCCAAGGAACAAGGGTACTGGCACAGTGCATCACAGAAAGAATATAGCTTTGGAGTCATTTATTGCCTGCATGAGGACAGTCAACTGCCAGGCTGCCTGGATTTGAATCCTGTTTCCACCACCTCCTAGCTGCATTAGCTCGGGCAAGTTACTTAGCCTTTCTGTGCCTCTGCGTCCTCACCTGCCAGAGAGCAACAGCCCTAGTACCTACCTACACCTGCCAGAGAGCAACAGCCCTACTACCTACCTACCTAATCTTGTGAAGATTAAATTAGACGATGCATGGAATATGCTATGTGAGGTCCACACACAGTGGACTTTCAGTGTTTAATAGCCTCACGCAAGTTCCTTCACCTTTATAAGCCTTGGTTTCTTCCTCTCCGAAGGGAGGGACAGTAATAATTCCTATGTCGCCCCAAGGTTGCTTATGAGGATGAAATGAGATAATGTACGTAAAGGGCCTGGCACAGAGAAGGGCTCAGTAAGTGTTTGTCTCCTTCCTCCTGTAATGGTCTTTGATGTTGCTAAGTTGCATGGCCGTCCTTTGGAGAAGCTCAACACAATGTGAGAGCATTTCGCGGGGCAGAAGTCTGCAATTGCTCTGTCGGCCTCCCCCGGCTCCGAGGCCTTCCGGCTCAGAGAGGGATTGACGCTACGCATCTCCGCGGGGCGCTGGCGGCTTTGGAGGGGCCACCTGCTCCGAAGCAGGCCTGCCTGAGCCTGCTCTGCCCCTCTCGAGCTTTGGGTCGGGACTGTGGCCACGAGCTCCACTGTGTTGGGTTTAATAAGGAATCTCACTTTCCCAAAACAGGCAACAAGTGGAGACACAGCCTCCGTCGCACTCCCCCGCAAGGCCCCCCCCCCCCCCCCCCCCCCCCCCCGGCCTCACTTTCTTTTGCAAAACCCATAAACTGCCCTCTGCCGGGCTCGCCCTGGTCTCACAGGAGGGCAGACCTCTGTGGCGGGTCCCAGCGCGGCGCGTGCCTCTGGCACCTGCTTCCCTCTTTGCCTCTGTCCCGCGGGCTCCCCAGACACACTCCGTCTCTCCGGCACGCCTCTTCGGGCTTCTTCGGGCTTTCCTGCCGAGACAGGATTCTGACCGTTGAGCCCTGTCACCCACTGTCATCCTGGGCAGTCCCCCCACCTTCACCCACCGCCTTGGTGGTCATGGCTCCCACGTCCGTACCTTGGCACAGACCTCTCTCTCCCTCTGGGCTCTGTGTCAGCAAGACACCCCTACACAGCTCCCATCCAGCTGCTCTCCAGCCCCTCCTTCTCGGGGGACCCAAAGCTGGTTCCCTTCCCCTCCAGGGCATGCTGGTTTGGTTGGGGACACCACCTGATACCCAGGAATGACCCCTGACTTCACCCGCCGCTCTCCCAGCCAAACCACCACTAAGTACCATTAATCTCATCTCCCAAATCTGTCCTAGGTCTGCCTCCCTCCTCTCCATCCCTAAAGCATCTCTCTCACAGATCACTGCAACGATCTCCTACCTCCTCCCCAGCCTTCCAAAGCCCTACCAGGATAGATCTAGAACACGCGTCTGCCTCTCCCCTGCTCAACACCCCTCAGTTATCTCTTCACCACCAGCTTCCCAAACACCAAGCTGACGGCATGAGGTTCCCCTGAGAACTTTTATATAAATGTAGCTCCCTCAGCCCTGCCCATGAAGATCGGACTGAATCCATCTGACATGGCACCTGAGAATCTATGTTCTCTGTAAGCATCCCAGGGATTCTGATGCAAATCCAGGGCTGAGAACCACTGGCCTTAGGAGGCAGCCCACGCTCCAAAGAACACCTACAGAATCACCTGATTTGGCTTACACCAACCTCTTCCTCTTATCTCTAGCTGGCCCCTACTTTGTACTTGACCCTCCTGCAACGCCAGGGAGTTTGGATACCCCTCCCCACTGCTGCCCTGCCCTGCCCTCTAGGCTGGTTCTTTCTTCTGTTCTTTTGCTTGCGCCCCAGGAAGCAGTATAGTGTTGAGAGTGAGAATCTGGGGTCTAACTGCCTGGGTCCCCACCCTGGCTCTACTGCCTACTGGCCATGTGACCTTGGGCAAGTGACTCCCTTTCTTACCCTCCATTTCCTCTTCTGAAAACTTAGGCAAAAACATACTCCTCTTAAGAGTTATGAATTAAATGAGATAAAGCACTGTCAACCCCTGGCTTGTGGCCAAGACCCAGGAAATGGTTGCTTATTATCAATGTGATGTCCCCCTCCTCACCCACACCTCCAAGTCCCTATCAGTGATCCTCTCGGGAGCAGGAGGGTCTCTGATTGACCCCATGTGTCCCCAGCATCTAGACGAATGTTGTCACGTTGGTACCCAGGAAATGGCAGCTGAATGAATGAGGCCTACAGCACCGTAAGTTCCATGAGAAAAAGTAAATGCTCCATTAAAAGAAATATTCTTCCTTATGAATAAGGCTCAATTTTAAAAAGCATACCAGCTAGGGCGCCTGGGTGGCTCAGTTGGTTAAGCGACTGCCTTCGGCTCAGGTCATGATCCTGGAGTCCCGGGATCGAGTCCCGCATCGGGCTCCCTGCTCGGCAGGGAGTCTGCTTCTCCCTCTGACCCTCCCCCATCTCATGTGCTCTCTATCTCTCATTCTCTCTCTCTCAAATAAATAAAATCTTTAAAAAAATAAAAAATAAAAAATAAAATAAATAAAAAGCATACCAGCTATAACATTTAAGATACTAGAAAGCATTCAACCCCCAAATATTTTCCCAGTCTAAGCTGGTGAACGGAGCTGATTTTCATTCACTGAGGCACTTTTCCAATTACCGCTTGGTTCTATGATGGCTTGACAAATGCATGGCCACAGGGCCCCCAGATTCCTTTGGCTACCCCAGGTGAATGAGTCCCTGCTGCTCACAGCAGGCACGGCACTCAGTCCAGTTGCTCTTACCCCCTCTGCTGGGCAGCCGATTCTCCCCCTCACCCAGCACTCCTCCCCTGTGCTGGACTAATCCCCATGCTAAGGACCACATCCGGCCACCCGCGTCCCAGGCAGCACGCAAGACCAGCCTGTTTGGCTATTCCCACATAAGACCTCTGCACCTCCCGCGCGGCCTCCTCATGGCAGCCTGAGCCCAGCATGCATATTCCTGCCTCTTGCCTTTGCTCATGCAAAACCTTGTCTTACTCTTGATCTCTGCCCCAAGTTCACAATCCCATTTCTTACAGGAAGCCTTCCTTGATCACCTCGGCCCACAAGGAACTTCCCTCTTCCCATACTTACTGTCCTTATTACTCATTCAGTCTTTTATCCATTCAAACAATATTTACAGAACATCGGTGTGCTAGGCATTGGGTACCGTGATGACTAAAAAAGAAATGGGCCTATTTTTCTAGGAGCTTCTACTCCTGTGGAACTGAGCCTGTGTATACTGTTACTGTAATCGGTGTCTAGGCAGCACCTGGTGTCCCTTCCTGCAAGTGGGCACCTTGAGAGCAGAAGCCACAGGCAGGCTGGCTGGCGTCCCCAGGGGCCAACACAGTGCCTTGTTGATACCAAGGGCGCAGCAAATGCTACTTGATAACACGGTCCTCCACATTGTCTGGAGCGACGGGGACCCGGGGGGGGGGGAGGTGGTAGCCTCTCAGATTTAGTGTTTCCACTACTACTCATTCATCCCACAGGCTTTAACTGTTGCCTGCTGGCCACCTGGGGGCCAAGAGCAGGCTCTCCCCTCCAGCTCAGTGCTTCCCCTCACCTGGAGTCACCTGCCCTATTCCACACAGTGACCAGAAGGCGCTTCTGTTCATCTTCCTCTTGGATGGGACTGCAAAGCAAACCAGACGGTCAGGGTGTTAGTAGGATCGAGCTCCAGGCTGGACCCACAGAGTTCATCACAACTGCAAAATTTAGAAATAAACTAACAACCATAAGGAGCTGGTTAAAGAAACTCAAGCACCAAGAGGGTGGGAGGTGAGTATTCACATACATAAAGGAGTTTACATTACCTTGTTCAGGACAAAAGGGAGGTTACCACACAATATTACAGAACAATTCCATTTTTGTAAACACCTACACACACACAGACACACAGACCCATACAAATCAAAGACCTGAAAAGAAATAAGCTGAGACATGTCATAAGTAGTAGGGCTTAAGGGGTTTTCTCTTTTCTTCTCTTTGCTAATCTGTTTTTCTACAATAAGCAAATTAGTTTGGAAAAAAAACAAAGTGTTCTTAATTTTCATTAACAGAATACCAAATGGCCATTTCCTTCCCATTGGCCCCAGAGTTCAGGGAGGGCGGGAAATAATAATAATAGTTAATAATAATAATAATAAGCAGCTGACATTGCATTACACGGTCTCATTCACAGGTCAGCTCTCCGAGGTCAGTACTCTCATCAGCCCATTTTACAACTATGGAAGCTGAGGCCCGGGGTGGGTAGAAAGTTTTACAAGGTGGGGGGATCTCTCAACTTGGAAAATTTCTTCTACTGAAAGAGAGGGCTTGGCCCAATTCACTGTGGGAAAATGCCTCCTTGTCAGGGGGTTGCGAGCCTCAGGCTGGGCATTTTCGTTGTGAGAACCAGCCAAGTGACACCTTATCACTGTGGACCTCACTGCCGGGCCAGGTGCCAGGGATGCAAGGGCACAAGTGAACGAGAAAACACAGACATCCTTTAGAAGTCACTGTTTTTCTGCTTAGATCTACTTCTAGATTTGGCAAATGGAGGAGGTTCCAGATAAACACTCCTTCCCTCTCCCCTCGAGGGCCCCAGACTCTTACAAGAAGAAGTGCTCACGGAAGACCGGCTCTCTGCAGTCTGGGACGGCCTGCGTCCTCTGGCGACGCAGTCGATTATCTTCAGGGATCAAAGAAATCTTGAATTGGAGAAAAGGAAGCATGAGATGATGGCTCATGGCTCCGGAGTCACCGAAGCCCAGCAGCTGCCTGCCCAGCCCCCAGGTGAAAGGCCTCCCCGGTGTCCTTCAAACCAGCCTCTGCAGAGATCAGGCTGCAGTCCTCAGTCAGAGGCTGGGAGACAAACAGAAACCCCTGCCGAGGCACTAGAATCAGATGCGGGGTCGGGGGGCCAGGAGAAGGCCCAGCAGTGGGTGCCACCACCAAGGTAGCCACAGGCCCAGCCATAGATGGGGTGTACTTCAGCCATCTTTGGTCTTCCTCTCAGCACTGGCCTCTCTCCTAAGTTCCCCGCAGCTGCTCGGTGCTCCCTTCACCAGAGGCTCCCTCTGCCAAGGCGCCAAATCCATGTTCTCGCCCTTGAGCTGCTCATCCCCTGCCTCTGCTCCTGCCCAAGTCCTCACCCACAGGGGCCTCTGACCAGCCTGGGGGCTTTGGGAGAGAAGAGAGGGGTGCATCCCAGCTGCCACACTCCGGGAGGTGCCTGGCCTTTGGTTCTGGCTGGAAGTAGGCCTTCTGCCCTGTGGGGCCTCTGTCTTCACTGCAACGGACCCACTCAGATGGATCTTCTAGGCCTCAGAGACACTCTCTCCCCTCCACCACCCAAACCTGGCTACCTTGCTTCTGGTTTTGCCAGGGAGAGGGCTTGGGATCATCTGTGGATTTCCGTCACCCACACGTTCACAGAGCTCACCTGTGTGGATGACCAAGATCACCCACAAGATTCCTGCTCTTGCAGGAAGCCTTAGGGACCAAGATGGGCTAAGGGAAGGGCCTATCCTAGCTCAGCACCTCATCACTGGATCTAATAAATGCCTAATGACTAAATAATGAGGTGGTCCCTGCCACCTCAAATGGCCACAGGCCCACAGATGTGCTGAGACCTCGGGACACAGTCTAGTGACATGGCCCCTCATTACCCCCACCCACACACCTCCCCACCTCCAGCCCATCATATACCTTCACGTAGGGATCACAGATGCCAGGCTCTCTGCTCATCAGGCCTTTGCCTTCTATAACTAAAGAGAGAATGGAAATGTTCCGGTGGGTGTCTGGGCAGGAAGGATTATCACTAGCCCCTAATGCGCATAACAGCCATTGGCTATTAACCCCCTCTGGTCTAGTCCATTCCCACCATCTCCCACACGCAGGCGGCACCCTCACTGAGACATTGCAGAGTGCATTCGATTCCTTGACTCTTACAGCTGAAAGAACAACAAAGTTATCAAGTTTAACTCCTCTTTTAACGGGAAAGATGAGACCATAGGGGTACCCAGAGCTAGTAAGAAACGTGCCCAAAGTCGCAGAGCAATCAGAGCAATGGGAAAGCCAGAGCTGGGTTTGAATCCCTAGCTCCTGACTCCCCGTCCAGTGCTCCCTCCTCTGCCCACGTCCGCCTCCTGGGACAGAGGGGCCAGGCTGGAGAACTTACCCTGCCCCGTCGGCTGCGCTGGGGCTGCAGGACGGTATAGCAGAGCGGACAGAAGCCTGGGTCCAGAGATGGGCCCGGGGCCCTGGGGCCACAGACCCGCACAAACACCAGCTTCGACACTTACTAGCCGGGAGAGCAGGAGCAAGCGGCTTCGTCTCTCTGTGCCCGAATTCGCTATTTTTCAATGGAGGAGTGATCGTAATGGGTTAGGGATCACGACACCCACTTCACCTGTAGGCGTGCTGGCTAAATGAGATGATGTGTCTAAAGTGCGGAGGAGAGGGCCTGGCAAGCGCGTACTGCTCAAGGAAGGTTTGCTAGAGAAAAAATAATAATAAAGGCAAGGGATAGGTGGCACGTGAGGCGCAGGCCTGATCCTGAACGTAAGCACCGCCCGTTTGCCTGCGGTCTGCAGAAATCACAGAAGCGGAGCCTCTTTGCTCTCTTTTCTGTTCAGTGTGGATGGAGCCCTAGGGTTTGGCTTGGACGGGGCTCCCGGAGTCTGAGGCATGAAGCCTGTGAAGCCAAAGGGGAGAGAGAAGAGGCTGGAAGAGATGAAGAGCCCTACAACTGGGGTGAAGCCAAAGCAAACCATGCAGGACAAATGAAGTGGTGGAGGCCAAGATGCATTTTGCAAAATCTGTTTGCACAGCTGGAGTCAGGCTCTGGCCCGCAAAGAACCCTCCTCTGCTGGTCCTTGGGAACGTCACCTTGGGCCCCCCAAGGCCAGGACCGGAGGACCCCAGGCGCCTGCTGGTCTATGCTGCCTGGTGTCCTAGCTACCAGTCCTGTGTGCGTCCTTCCTCTTGAGGGCGTGGTCACGGGGGGGGGGCAGTTTTCCGACCTGAGGAAACCCCCGGGTCTCCCTGCCCACCCTCCCCCCTGCCCATGCAGGTGCGGCAGACATGGTTCCTGCCCCACTGCATTCCGGGACAGCCCAGAGTGACGCAGCATAGTCAGGGCTGTGTGAAGGACACAGAGGAGGAAGCAACATACTCAGGTAGGTCAGGGGGGTGAATCCTGGAGGGGGGAAAAAATGAAGCAAAATGAGCCTTCCTTCCTGAGCCTTAATGATGAAGGCGGGCACGTTTCTTGCAAAATCAGAGGGAGGGAGAGTTATTTTTCAAAAGGAATTCAAAAAAAAGGCAGGCGACTCCAAGCACAAGAGACAGTGGGGTGCAGAGGCTCAGAGGCATGAGCAAGCAAGATGCCCTCAAGGGGGTGCCTGTAACTGGACAGAAAAGGGAGTGCAGAAGGGCGCCTAGGTGGCTCAGTTGTTAAGTGTCTGTCTTTGGCTCAGGTCATGATCCCAGGGTCCTGGGATCAAGTCCCGCATCGGGCTCCCTGCTCGGCAGGAAGCCTGCTTCTCCCTCTCCCACTCCCCCTGCTTGTGTTCCCTCTCTCACTCTGTCTCTCTCTGTCAAATAAATAAAATCTTCAAAAAAAAGGGGGGGGGGGAGTGCAGGGAGCCTTTAACAGCAAGGGCCACACAGGCTGGAGAGATAAGCAGGGCCTGCTGGGCTAAACAGAAGAGCCCAGGCAGCAAAGACCATGACAGAAGCTCAGTAACTACGTGTATGCTGGATGGAAGGACAAACAAATGGATAAATGGACAGGTAAAGTGTAAAATCCTCTGGGTGGCCCATGGGAACCTTCACTGCCTGGCCCCATACTCACTGTGGAGCAGCAGAACCCGGTCCTGGGCATCGATTGACAGCTTCAGCTGACCTAAGGAGACAACAACAGAAGCAACTTCACCTCGTCTTTTGTTGGATGAAAGATGGGGTAGCAGTGATGGGAATGCTCTTTTGTTCATGTGAAGTGATTCAAATATCCATACGGTCTCTGAGTTGGGAGGGAGCTCAGAAGCCACTTAGTTCAGCCTCCTCATAACATCAGGAGTCCCTTCTGTAATACCTCCAGCAGTGGCTCTCCACCCTGGGCTTATACCCCTCTGGTGATGGGGAGCTCACTACTTCACAAGGCAGCCCAGGTTAACGCTGGGGAGCTCTCTCTGTTGGACAGTTGGAAAAGTTGTTGCATCCGCATCAAGATGATGCCAGATTGGAGAGTAAAGGATCCTGGGCCTTGGTCAGGAGTCCTTGGGAGCCAGGGGGTCGAAGGGGAGGTCAGGGTAAGCCCTCCACTGTGACAGACAGCTAGTTGTGTTCTGGAAAGGCAATAACACAAGGGCAGGGAACAAATGATTTGGGGGAAAAGCAAAAGAAAAGAGATCAGATCCTTCAAAGTCAGTGCTCCCACCCTCCACCACTGCACAGAACCCTGATCTCCCTAAAGAAAAACCGACCACTGGAACAGAGCCATGCTATGTGTGGTCCGAGAACCACCAGCATCAGAAGCATCTGGATGATAGCTAGATATGCAGAATTGCAGGCCCCTGCCCCAGGCATACTGAATCACAACGTACAGTTTAACCAGATCCCCAGGGAGGCACAGGTGCATTAAAGGTTGAGGAGTCCTGGACTAGAGTACGTGAAAGGGCCTCTGAGCATGTTTATAAGCTTGGAAAAGGCCTTCTTAGCAAGACACAAAATGCAGAGGCACCAAGGGAAAAGACAGACAACTCTGACTCCATACGATTTTTTAATGTCCATTACAATGAAATATATCATAAACAAGGTTATGAGACAACACAACAGAAAAATAGACAAAGGTCATAAACTGCAAATGCAGAGAAGACAAAACAGCCAATCAATGTATGAGAAGATGCTAGACTTCACAGGGATCTGGGACATGCAAATTAACCATAAAATACCATTTTCCTTCAATCTGCTTGGCCGATCGTTTAAAAGACAGATAATGTTGGGGCACCTGGCTGGCTCAGTCTGTAGAGCATGAGACTCTTAATCTCAGGGTTGTATGTTCGAGCCCCACATTGGGTGTAGCGATTACTTAAAAATAAAATCTTTAGGGGCACCTGGGTGGCTCAGTCGGTGGGGCGTCCGACTCTCAACCTCAGCTCAGGTCTTGATCTCCAGGGCCGTTGAGTTCGGGCCCTGCGTTGGGCTCCACACCACTTAAAAAAACAGTAACAATAAAATAAAATCTTTAAAAAAAGAGACGGATAATGTCAAATGTTGGTTAAAAATGTAAGAAAACAGGTACTCTCATACCCTGTGGGAGGAAGTGTAATGGAGGGTAATTTCTGGCAATATCTATCAGAATTCAACTGTGCATGTCCTTGAAGCCGGCAATTCTACTTTGAGGTAACCATCACAGACAAAAACCCGCACACCTGAGCACGAGGCTTGTGCTCCAGCCCTGTTTAAAATAAGGACAGGGGCGCCTGGGTGGCTCAGTCGGTTAAGCGGCTGCCTTCGGCTCAGGTCATGATCCCGGGGTCCTGGGATCGAGCCCCGCATCGGGCTCCCTGCTCGGCAGAGAGCCCGCTTCTCCCTCTCCCTCTGTCTGCCGCTCTGCCTACTTGTGCTCTCTCTCTCTAGCTGTTAAATAAATAAATAAAAATCTTTAAAAAAATAAAATAAAATAAAATAAGGACAAATTGGAAACACCTGAAAGGGCCATCGGTATGAAAATGGTTAAATGAGCCATCTCTAGCTGTGCTTGGAATAGTGGGAACTGTTACCAAAAAAATGGGGGAACTCTGTTATGTCCAGGCAGGGGGAACATTGTGATAAGTTTTTAAGAGAAACAAGCAAATTGCAGAACAATACAGATGACATACATTTCTACGTGTGTGTGTGTGTGTGTGTGTGTGTGTGTGTGTTTGTGTGTTCTGAAAGGATGCCAAAGGAAAAACAGGGATCGCTTCTAGAATTGGAGATAAGGAAGTCAAGAGGAATTTAAATCTATCGCTATTGTTGTTTCAACAATACAAATTATATGAACTGTAGCACTTCTATAATTAAAAATAAGAAGAGGTGGAGTGCCTGGGTGGCTCAGTCAGTTAAGCATCCAACTCTAGATTTCAGCTCAGGTCATGATCTTGTGGTCATGAGATGGAACCCCGAGTCCGGCTCCCCGCTCAGTGGGGAGCCTGCTTGAGAGTCTCTCTCCCTCTCCCTCGGCCCCTCTCCCCCGGCTCTCACTTTCTTTATTAATAAATAAAATCTTTTTAAAAATAAAAATTAAATTAAAAATATGAAGAGGAAATGAAAAAAGAAGGTAAGCAGGGAGGAGAAGAGAGAAGGAAGGGGGGGGGATGGGGAAGTGTGAACATAACGGAAGGGCCAGGGCTGGAAAGCATGTGAAGAATGAGGAGTTTTTCCCCTGGCTTTTCTAATTTTTTTTTTAAAGACAATGTAAAAACAAAACATCAAGTCATCCTCACAGATGCCCAGTGGCCCTTCAGCATGGACAGAAGAGAGAAGGATCATACCCATTCCTCAGTCCAGTGGACTCTTCCTGGAACCTCAAGAAACCACTGAACTTGGGGCGCCTGGGTGGCTCAGTCGTTAAGCATCTGCCTTCGGCTCAGGTCATGATCCCAGGGTCCAGGGATCAAGCCCCGCATCGGGCTCCCTGCCTCACGGGAAGCCTGCTTCTCCCTCTCCCACTCCCCCTGCTTGTGTTCCCTCTCTCACCGTGTCTCTGTCAAATAAATAAAATCTTTAAAAAAAAAAAAAAACAAAAACCACTGAACTCAATCCACCTGGTGGACATGTACTGGGGAGGCAAGGAGGATGCGGCAGGGCCTCCCAGCCTGCAGCAACCCCACACAGCAACCAGAAAGCCCTTGCATCCATGACAACCCTTATAGTCATCAGCCTCTGCTTGATCACCTCTGGTGATGGGGAGCTCACTTCCTACAATGGGAGCCCTTTTTCTTTTGCAATAGCTCTGACTGTTCAATGCTCCATCTTATACTGAGCCAGAAGCGGCCTCTCAGTAACTTTTATTGCCTAGACATGGTTCTGCTGTCAAGTCTCCGGGCTCTCTCCTCTAGATTTCAAGCGTGAAATCCACCACTCCTCGTGGCACAGTGAGATGTTCCTTCATCATCCCAACTGTTTATCTCTGGACAGGCCCCATGAAACTGGGACTGTGGCTGGGGCTTGTGCATTGCTGCTGGCTGGAGGAAGGCCAGGCAGGGTTCAGAGAACAGAAAGGAGGGAAATTCTGAGCAGTTCCCCAACCCCTGGGACCTGGAAACTTGCTCCTCACATTTTGGGGGTGTTTAAACTGTAAACCCAGGCAATCCAGACTCCAGCAAACCCTTGTCCAGCTCTTCACCCAACAGAAATTCCTGCTGCTCTCCTGCCCAGAACACAGACCTCAGAAGCCCGGAGGCCTATTCCAGTTCCAAGCCCTGACTACTGTCCTCGCTCTCAGAGCCACATTGTCCCCTGGCTGCAAGGTGGGGCTAATAACAGGGGCTACTGCATTCGCCAAGCTGTGTGTGGATCAGATAATGCTGGAGGGTGAGGAGGTCCTTGCATGAAAGGCGCCAAAAGAACCCGTGGCATTATTAGCTCAAGATCTGAGCAATTACCACTTTGGGGCCCTCTATAGCTGAGAAATCTCCTAAAAAAACTGTGCCGGATCCAGTGTGGGGTAGAAGAAGGCTTTGAAACAGACAAAAATGGCTAGCAGTCACAAATCCGATCTCACGAACCCAAAGGCGACTGTGTTTAAACCCAAACATTTTTTCTGAATCTATTATGAGCGCAAAGGCAGCTTTGGCCCGAACATATTTGGCTTTCCGAAGCCGTGGGGGCCACGGAGCCACATGACACCATCACCTACCCAACAGCCCATTCACAGAAATCAGGATGGACAGGGAAATACATATCAAAACCACAATGAGATCTCACCTCCCACCAGTCAGAATGGCTAAAATGAACAAGTCAGGAAACGACAGATGTTGGCAAGGATGCAGAGAAAGGGGAACCCTCCTACGCTGCTGGTGGGAATGCAAGGTGTAGCCACTCTGGAAAACAGTATGGAGGTTCCTCAAAAAGTTGAAAATAGAGCTACCCTACAACCCAGCAATTGCACTACTGGGTATTTGCCCCAAAGATACAAATGTAGTGATCCGAAGGGGCACCTGCACCCCAATGTTTATAGCAGCAATGTCCACAATAGCCAAACTGTGAAAAGAGCCCAGATGTCCATGGACAGATGAATGGATAAAGAAAATGTGGTGTGTACAAACACACACACACACACACACACACACACACACACACACACACACACAATGGAATATTACACAGCCATCAAAAAAGAAATGAAGCCTTGCCATTTGTAATGACGTGGATGGAACTAGAGGGTATTATGCTAAACAAAATAAGCCAATCAGAGAAAGACAATTATCATATGATCTCTCTGAAATGTGGAATTTGAGAAACAAAACAGAGGGTCGTAGGGAAAGAGAGGAAAAAAATAAAACAAGACAATACCAGAGAGGGAGACAAACCATAAGAGACTCTTGGTCACAGGAAACAAACTGAGGGTTGCTGGAGAGGAGAGGGGTAGAGGGATGGGTTAACTGGGTGATGGACATTAAGGAGGGCATGTGATGTAATGAGCACTGGGTGTTATATAAGACTGATGAATTACAAACCTGTACCTCTGAAACCAATAATACATTATATGTTAATTAAAAAAAAAAAATCAGGATGGAGACATCTCCCAGCACAAATGGTCGCTAGTTCCACTCGACAAACGTTAGCCAGGCACCTGCGTGGGGCCCTGAGTCAGGAACGACGGATCTGAATGGCCGGGTGCCTGCCGGCAGGGAACGC